AAAAAAAAAAAAAAAAAAAAAAAAACTGAAAAAGGAGAACTACCTGTGCCTGTCATTGTAATTAGCAAGGCTCAAAGATGAGCAAGTTATTATCACCAGTCTTGGGGGAGAATATCCATCCAAGAGTACAATCCTGGCTGCTGGAACAGCAGATCATTGGATGCTTACACACTCAGAGCTGTTAGGTCAGAGATACCTGTTTTGTCTCTTTACCCCGTTTGGGTCACTGCATTTTGGGATGGAAAGTGGCTGAACGCTGGACATGACTTTGCTGGCCATCTTCTAGCAGCCATTACTACCAAGTTTTATGTGGCTGCTGCTGATTGTAGTTTTGGCAACCAAAAAGTTAAGATTGATGAACAGCACCTTCGCAAAACTATGTAAGTTTAAAAAAAGATTTGAGAAATTTGAATGCTTGCTATTTGACATTTCACTTTGTTCATTTACAGTTTGCATTTACAGGCTCCTAACTGTAATACCCTCTTAAATTCATAGCAATGTATGCATAATCATGTAATAATCAAATATCAACATAAAAAACTCCAGAGTAAGATGGATAAAACCACAAGTCTTCAGCACCGTGCTCAAAAAAACTTATTCAAAGGCAAATTCTAATCTGTGAGAAATATTACTCTGAAATAGATTAAAAAATCTTCAAAACTTGTTATGTTACTGCCCTCTTGTTTTAGTTTGCCTTACCTTTCTCAGAAATTTTAGAAAAAGCAGTGATTACAGGAGTTATATGGGAGAAACATTTTCTGTTGAAGACCAGGGGTCCAACAGGTGTTCAGTTGGGATAATTCGACATAATGCTCTCCAGAGCAGAGCATTAGCAGACTTCATGAAAAATGATCCTTCTCCTTACTGTGCCACTTTGACTTTTTAATACGAATCTTTCACTCACAGACTGGAATTCAGTTGGGACGTGTATCAAAGTCTGGTCACAGCTTAATAAAATTTGATCGTATTCATCTGCAAATTTAGCAATTTAGCACAATTCAAAAGCAACCATTTTCAAAATGGGCAATAAAGTCTTTGTATGTATTTCTGAGTTGGTTTCATTTGGCAATAACCCAGTAATTATTTTTTCACGTTTTAATTTTTGAAATTATACAGACAGTTCTCAGAATTGGTTAAAGGAAAGATACACCCACACTAGTTTGAAGTTGAATTGCATGGAATTGTTACTCAAAAATATGTTTGGAAAATAGTAAAGTGAGCAATGAAGACCCAATTGGCCAGCAGTTGATGGTCATCCTGATACTAATGACAAAAGAATAATGCATCTGATATCAGGCTTTTTAGGTACTTTCTGGATTTGTTACTTGTTGTAGAATGAAGCACATTGGCAAAGCTCAGAAATAATTCTCATTCTTACTTTGATTAGCACCAGCTTTTATTCGTGGTTTTGTTTACAATCATCTCTACACTATGAAATGTGTACTGAAACATTGAACAATAGCAGCAGTGTTCCACTTCAAAGCAGCAACAAATTCACTGCACTGTGGTGTGACAGACGTAAAACCCTGTGGGTATTATACTGTGTAATTGTAGAAAACAGAGTAGGAATGATACTGTGACAAAAACAGGGAGTCTGTAGAGGAAGACAAGAGAAATGGATTGGGGGTAATTCTCCAGCCTTCCTCCTCTGCCTGTGTTTGAGAGGTGTCTCTTCAAGACCAAGGATCAGGGAAAGGAGTTTACATCCTTTACACCTATGTGTAAAACTTGCCAGAAACTGCCATTGGGCTCTTCCCCTTACATTTGTTGTATAAGGGATATCTTGAATCTAGTCATTTCCAGTATTTGTGCATGATCTGTGTGAGCCTGTAAATGTATTCAGGCTGGATTAATTAAAGTACTTTTCTTATACACCAGAAATCAAATACCTTTGCAAAGTTATTTTATTTAATAGTGTCCCTGCAAATAAATGAAGAATTAACATGAAAAGTCTTGAGTATATTATTCTCACGTGTGTTGTGATTCAGAAAAACAGAGTATTTACTGTGTTCTGTAAGTTTAGGAAGTGGTCATCCTTGAAACTCAGTTGAAGAGTTTGAGAAATTTGCCTTTTAAATGTGTTGCAGCAGTACAGCTACCAGAGCTTAAATTTTTTACTGAACTTGAGGAGAAGAGAGAGAAGCAAGGGAATATACAATGTTTTAGAAAACTTAATCCATTCCCTGTTGTTTGTTTTTAATATTTTTTCATTTTGCCAAGTAAAGAGTCTATATTTATAAATCTAACGTGCAAAGAAAGAGACCTTGTTGAAGTTTTAAGCAGAAGCTGCTGCTGTAAGTGGGAGAGGTCTTTACAGGAATTTAAGGAATGATGTTAGAAAGTATCCTAGTATGCCAAATTTAGGATGGCTGTGAAACTGAGCTTTAAGGAGAAGCCTGTATTTTAATGCAGCTTGAGTCTTACGTATGTGAAGAGTTTACAAAAAAAAACCTTTGTGGAGTAAAAGATTACATGTTTCTACTGCAAGTTTAGCTTCCAGCTGGCATTTCAAGTCACAGGAAAAGTTGGTGACCTTCATTCTTTTCACAGTGCATTTTTCACCTAGAATATACATGCAACATGAGGTATAAAGTTGATGTTCTTCCTACCAACTACATAGCTGTGTTAAATTCCCACTTGGGCAGCCTCCACTGAATTTCATCAGACCCCATAAGGACTGAATATGGCACAAATCCAAATGCTGCTTTATGGGCTGTCCAGTAATACTCAACCATCCTATGAATGTCTCCAGGTTTGTATCCTGCAGTGTTGAGGGTCATTATGTTATGCTTTAAGTGGTTTTCAACAAATATAAATGATTATGAGAGAGAATTCTTTTCATATGTATGTTGTTTTAACCTTCCACTTGGATATTCTGTGTATACATGCCCAGCTGGCAATGAGTGTGTACATCACAAATGTAGTATTATTTTTACTTTCTGAACAGATTATGAAAATTGAATTATAATAAATTTTTAGGCTAAATGCCATTTTCAGTATATTCCAAAGCATAACACATTTTGGACTTTATCTTACAAGCCAACAGCTAAATCCATGTCCCACTATATTTTTATTCCTTTCACAGTCCTGTTTATGGTATTTCATTTGACATTTGAAAATGAAGCAGATGCAATCCTTTTTGTTATCTCTGGCATGGCAATTTCATGTTTAATGTTTTTAGAGGAAAAGTCAGTAACACATTGGACTTACACAGTGATTGCCAATATAAAAATTGTAAAAAAGCACAATGAGTATTTCCATTTGCAATCAAAGGATTATGAAGGGTAAAGGGGAGCAGAATACAATTGAACAAAAATTATTCAGGTGAAGGTTATTTTAAAATATTTAGTTGTCCTTAAAAATCTTTTCATTGTGGGGAATAATTCAGTTGCAATTATGAATGCACAAATTGAAGAAAGCAAGGAGAGTTAAGGAGAATAAAAGTTTATCTGAATAGAGAGTAGGTTTGTTTATACCTTTTTAATACCTACACGTTTCTTATAGTTTAATTTTTATCCCTTGTCTATTACTAAGTTTATGCTATGCCTTTTTAAAATGGTGGAGATTTTTTTTTGTTTTTTTCTGGTTTTGTACATCTTAAAACTGCATTCTTTCTAAGGAGGTTGAAAATGGAAAAAAAAAAAAAAAAGAGAACTCAGGAAGCAATAAATTAGCTGTTGTTGTAGAGGCATAGCTGGGTAATGGCATGAAGAGCACAGCCTTTGCTGGGAGGATTAATAGCTCCTCTCTGGTGGTATTCACTTCTGTTCCAGCCCACCTGATATGGGGAAGTTGATGAAGTTGTGGAAACTGTGATAGTGGGTCCTTAGCCAATCTAATACTTATTTAGCATTTCACTTATAGGAGCTACCAAACTTTTTTCTCTATTTTTGATCGTAAGAACTCTACTACCTCATTTAATTTTCATTCCCTGGGAGTGTACTTTCTTGCTTTAATTACATGTCTTTAAAGTGCAACATGCTGCTTTATATATATTTCTGGAATCTCTTACTCCTTTACTATGGGTTTCCAAAGTGTCCTATACACTTCAATGTGATGAATAAATTCAGTTTCAATCAAGTTTTCTTTTTTAAAATGCTGGCTGTGAGTGGTACCTTTGTTTCTCAAGTCATCACCTCTCAGGCAGTGGCATGTCCTGTTTCAGGTGGCTGCTCATGTGACTCTAATCAGAAGCCACAATTCAGTGAGACACAGGTAGCAGAATTTCCACAATTGCAGTACAGTGATCAGTACAAAACAAAGTAGATGAACAACCAGTTCTTGATATGTTTGTCTTTTTCATGTGAAGTACTATATGAGATTTCTTTTTCCTTGCCTGCCAAAGAGCTTTGGTACCTTCTTCCCTCTTACTGAACAGTATCTTCAGTCCTTTCAAGATTTTGAATACTATGATAATGCCTGTGCTAAGAGTGGCCATCTGCCTAATTTATGTTTGTGTCTCTGCAATTTAACTATCAAGACAAGATCTCAGTTGGGAAAGATGACTGCCAGAAAGAGAGAATTTCCTAGTGGTTTATTACATGCTATTTAATTGTCCTTCACTACACTGCCTCCTGAAATCCCACTGCTGAATTTAACATTTTTAAATCTGTATGTTTGCTGGCACATGTCCTAGACTACCAGTTCTGGAAGAGTTCCCTCTCTGGGCTTTTCTGTTTTACATTTTTAAGTTATATCGTTTCCCAAAGAAATCATTCATTTTACTACAATGAATGCAACTGAGATGTGATTGTTTTTTTCATAGGTGCTTTTCACTCATTTAATGACCACTAGAAAACCCTTTGAGCTAAACAATTCTTACAATCATGTTTAAGTATTGAAACTAACTTGAAAGAAGTAAAATAACTCACTGGTAAAACTGGTCTCATCAAGGAGAGCAACAGAAATTTTGAGCTTTTTTTTTCATTTTGGAAACTGAGCAAATAGAGACTGATAATTTTTGGAGGTTTCATTTCGTTCTAAGGAAAGACTTTTGTGCTAAGCACAGTCGATAGGAATGAGCTGAGTTTATAAAAAGGAGAAGTAAGAGAGGCTTGCAATTAAGAAGTGACTTTGGCCTACCTAGGAAAGCAGAGCCAGAAGTTGCTGTAGTGAGAAATGAACAGGACTGTGGTTCTGCAAAAGCAAATTGTAGAACTGCTGGTCATCTGCAGAAGTGGCTGTGTGTCTATTTGTGGTGTGTAACTTTGACATCAAAGAATCAAATTGTTTTTACACTTCCTACACTTGTGTGACAAAAAGGAATTGGTTAGACAGCAAATTCAAATAGGAATGGTTGACAGTGCTTTGTTCATGAGAAGAGTTGTGGCCTTTTACCTGTTAATTGGTATTAAAAATGAAGAAGATGGGAGAAGAAAAACCATGGAGGAGGTGGAAAGTGGCAGCTTGCAAACTGCCAGGTTGTGAGCACTAACCTGTGTTGCAGTAGTCATAGCCTAGGCAAGCATTCAGGCAGGATCTGAGGGAAATACAAGGCTGTAGCTTTCTTAATTTAATCCAGGTGACTAATTCTTTATCTGAATTTCTTTTTCATATAGGAATGAATAACAAACCATAAAATTTCACATGCTTGGTCTGTAAGTAGCCTAAGGAACATTTGGGCCCCATGAGACTTTGCCTTTAGCATTAGCCCTTTTGGGGAGATCTGTGACAAAAAAGAACATTAGGTTCAGAAAGCAGTTTTTCATTTTGAGGACTAAAAAGCTGTATAATATTTTCATAGGTTTTGTATTGTTCTAGGGAAAAGCTATTGTGCCAAAATATAAATTTTTTACTGACAGCATATTTAATTTTATAAGTGCAGGTGGTCTGAAGTATCACTTCCTAGTTATTTAACAAAATGGATTTCTACTACTAAGTTAGATGCAAAGCTGTTCAATTAAAGATAAGTCTCACTAATTATTATATTCTCTTTGGGATAAAAAAATCATTCAATAAAGAACAAAGTATTTTTTCCCTGAGGCATGTGCTCATTCCTTCGTTATAAATTATCTTACTCTTTATTTTTCCAATGAAATGTTAGTATATTTATTTTACATCTTTCTTTAGGTGTTTTGTCTATATGGCTTAATTAGTTAGGTCATATTTTAAAGTTTGTTGTAGCTTATAAAGATCTACCACTGCCCTTATAAAGAATACATAATACATAGAAAAGAAATGTCAAGGCAGAAGGAATGATGTTAGAAAATATGGATGGAACATACCTAGTCAGCTTTTTAATAAATAAATTACAGACCTAGGAGGAATTTTACTGTATTTTCCTAAGCTAAACCACTAGAAGAGAGAGCTTTTTGTGAAAAGAGTAAATCATGCTTCTAGAACAGTTTTACCATTGCTTTTAACTAAAAAAATATGTGCAAGGTTTTATATGATTGAGCACAGAATATTGTAAAACATGAAAAATGATTGTCATCAAAGCCATTGAGAAGCAGATTACTTGCTTTTAAGAAGTACTAACTTTTTTTCTAGAAATGCAGAGATTTGTTGAAATACTTTGGTCCAAACCTAGGAATATAGAATCCAAAGGGGAAATCTTGGTCAGACAGCTGTGGAATAGCTGGCAGGTATATTCTTCAAACCACTTTGAAGTTAAATAAATTAACTTCACACATAAATTACCAAGTATCACACACACACACACACACAAAAACCCCAGATCTTTTGTCTTCGTAGCTTCTATTAGAAGACAGTTCTAAAATCTTTTTTACTCAATGTGAAAGATGAGTGTCTTCTAGTTGCCAGCCTGTGTGTATTCATCACCTGTTTATATGTACTGGCACCTTTAAAAGACAGTTGTAGATGTGTTTATCCCTCAGTTGCTTTTAATATTTATTTGTAGAAGCAACCATATACCCATGCCTCTGGTTTTGGTAAGTCCTTTGTGGTGTGAGGACTGGTAGTTCACTGTATCTAAAAATGGACAGATTTACTGCTCTCTTTTTTTTTTTTTTTTTTTTTTTTTTTTTTTTTTTTTTTTTTTTTTTTTTTTTTTTAATGGGGAACACTATTTCTCAGCCACAAATAGTTTGGGCTTTCTTTTCTGATGATGAAGATTCGGAAAACTGAAGTGCAAGGAAAACAACGGACTCTAAACATACCATTCTCAAATCACTGGAAGTTCTGCATTTCATCAGCAGACAAACTGTTCAGAAACATTAGGTTTTAACTCATTTTTCCTTTTTAAAAACTTTGACCTATTATCAACATGTTTTGAAAGACATACAGAGAAGTGATGCTTTTCTTTTTGTTCATAATTGGTTGTATTTTTTCCAGAAAGATGTATTTCAAAAAGATTTCCAAAAAGTCTATGTGATACAACTGTGTTGTTTATAATACTAAAAACTAGGAGACATTGTATTATGCACTGATTATAATGTAAATTTCAAGCATGAATGGGATAAATTATGTTGAATATTGACTTGGATAAAAAATAGGAGTTTTTCATATACATAAAAATTTTTTAGATTTCAAAAAGAAACTGATTACAACAATTTTAATTTTTAAAATAAAAGTTTCCCTTTAAAACTATTAAATAGCTATGTCAAGTAACAGGAATGTTATCAAGTTAATGCTGTAATTTCTCTCTAATACGCACTACAGGAATAATGATCTCTGTATAGAAATGGAAGTATAGATACATGTATATTCATACAAAAGGTGTACTTTTGAAATCTGTGAGTGATGAATTTTGAGTTTATATCCTTTGCTGATTTCATGTCATATGTGCTTTACTCAAATGACAGTTTCTTTACTTTCACAAAAAAATATATGTTCAACATTTCTGAATACAGCCACGAAACTTCCTTGAACAGGCATCCCTTTACTGTGTATTGTACAAAATTCCCAGTGACTGTGTGTTGTACTTCAATGTCCAGACCTCCAAGGCAGTACACCTCTGTTTTTATTGCTGCCATGTTCCTTCAAAGCATTCACTATTTATTCACATGTGGCATTTCTCTGTTGTTTGAACAAAAATAGCTCAATTTGATGAGTGTCAGATGTAGAGAAGTTATTTCCTTACTAAGTTTAAAACCAAATCTGTTTCTAACAATAGAAGCTGTTTTCTATAATTCAGTAATTGATGCATCATGTACTAATCTGTTTTCTGGAAACTGTAAGAGGATTTTTCACTGAAAGACAGAAGGAGAAAGTGTAGGTTAAAGTAGCATCTGTTTCTCTGTACCTGTGTTCTTTAGTCAATATGCATCTATTTTTTTGTATATTTTAGACTGTAAAATAAAAACCAGTTTAGATTATGACAAAACATAATTCTTACTGAATTTACACCAATCCAATGCGGGTGACAAGAACAATTCTTTACAAGAGGTTTGTTGAACTGGGGCATTATTTCAACTTTATTTAGGACATAATAGAAAATAAAGCTTAAATATATTTCACATGCCAAATGTTACCAATAATATGATGGCCCTCCATGTTTCTCGTGGGAAGCCAACTTCATGTCAGTTGATCCTCTCCAAACTGTAGTTCATTCGAGCAATGTCTCACCAGCAGCTGATACAAAACATTTTGATCCAGTGATTCTGGCAATTTGCTGAGGTGTATATAGAAAGAAGTTGGTGGGACAGAGGTCTGGTTCAAGAGAACTTTCTTTTTTTTCAAATGATGTTCTTTATAAAGTCAGAGTTGGTCATCAGTATCCAGGATGTTGCCACAGGTGAGAGTTCTGTGTTTGACATTTGCCTCTAAGCATGGATACAGCTGTCATTACCTGCCACGTCCATCCTCAGGTTAAGGATTTTTTTTTTTTTTTTTAATTTGAAGATCTTAAGCTATCAATGCATGGTCTGAATTGGCCTTCATAATCTTTGGTAAAGAAGATTTAGCACTGCATTTTATTCTCGATGAGTTCAAAGCATGACTTGATTTAAACCATTAGATATTCGACCAGTCTCATATTTCCACCTTCTCTCAGTAATGCTGTGATTACTGTTGAGAAACTTGTCACTCACTTTAGAAGAAGGTTTAAGGTTAGGTTTTGTTTGTGAAGAAAAATCCTTACCTTAGAAATAGTTTCAGTCTTTTGCCCAACAAGTTTGATAGCCTTCAGAGTATTCTAAGGTAGTCATTTCTTCTGGTTAACTTCAGAGGCTTATAAACAAGCAAAGCAGTCAGAGTATAGATGTAAATCTAATTTTTCAGGCAAAATCATTTGGTGGTTATTTATGCAAATGGAAAAACTATACTTTTAAAGTTTCATTATTGTTACAGTAGACCTTGCAAAACAAACCTATATAAACTCTAAATAATAGGGAAATCAGGACTCATTTAGTAATTATTAGGTAACTCCAAAATTATTGCAAATCTGGCAAATTTAATTTTAATGGAAGTGTTCATGGTTGGCAACCATGATATTTGATCATTGCTGAATAATACAGATTACTTTTTTTTTTTAACAGGAGTCTCCTAAAAGAAATTGAAGACCCTTTAGAGACTTTGTACATAAAATCTCACATTTAGTAGTTGCCAGAAGCTGATTGACATACCCATATTGTGAGACCACACAAAGCTTCTTAGCACAACTTCTTCAAATAGTTAACTATTGAAGAGGCAAAAACAAACTTTTTTTATAATCTTTATAATCTCCGAATGATGTTTAGCGTGATAGTATTCTCTCAGCTTCTTTGGCCCCTGGCTTTACATTCATCTTAGCAACAGCTTTATTCAAATCATATTCTTTGTCCCAGTAGTCTACATTAATGGATGATTCTGTTCCTGGCCCTGTGCAGCAGTGTGTATTCCTAGCACGAGGTGCAGTGTGCAGTGTCAGTGCACAGCCGTGGCAGGGACTCAGATGGTTGTGTGGAAGAGCAGCAGTCGCTCAGTGATCATTGGATGCTGCTGGAGAGAACAGCTGTGTGCAGGGTTAAGCCAAGCTGGACCTGGTTATGCTGCAGTGGCAGCTGGGTGAACTTGGCAAGCAGCATTTTCAGGTTTTAATTCCATTTACTAAATCTGTGACATTTCTGATACTGCCTTACAGATGAAATGACCTTAACTTATGGGACATAAATAAATTGCCAGTTGCTGCCATGCATTTACAAATTGCCTGTGAAAGCTGATGAACAAGTTGCTACTCATCAGTGAATTTCACAATATAAGTATCTGAAGTTTTCTGTCATAATATTAATAGTTTTCTGTCATACTATTAATTGAGTCAGAACATTATAGAGTATAAGTTCATTATTAGTACCTGCACTTCCGTTATGTTTAGCACAGTGCCTTTACTACAGTGGAATGTTAGCTGACCATGTATTCAGAAATAACTTCAGTTTCTGAATCGCAACTCACTAAAAAATAAACGTCTGAAAAATTATATTAAAGTGAGTCTTGCAAGCCAAACTTCTGTTTTTGAATGTAAAACCAAAAAGCCAGATGGAAAGTAACCTTAAAAGCCAAAATTCTAGAAACGAAACTCAAAGTTAAAAACTTAACATGAGGTCATTTAAATATGAAATTAAATTCATGTGGCCAGAGAGGAACAAAGAAGGTTTATCTCCCTGTCCATCTGGCAAATGAATGACTGGGAAGATCTTAGAAGTGTTCTCGCAAAACAGCTCACTGGGGACCTGACCAACCACGTGGATTGTGAAATGTTTGTTACTCTTGTATCAGTGGTGTGCTGTGGTATTATTATGATGTAGACTTTGGGGTTGTGTATTGTATGAGAAAGTACTGGAAGGTGAGTCACAGCTTTTTTTTTCTGTTAGTGAAAACTCATTTTCTCCATTTTCAGTAACTGATTGATAGGAAATGATGACTCTGGCCTTGTATGGATATGGTGCTAAATGTTTCATGTTATTAGCAGTATAACTGGGAAGAGAAAAAAAGAGATGGAGAGTGAAAAAGAAACTGAAAGATGCCAGAAATTAAGTACAAACAGGACAGGATGAAACTGATTATTTTAAAACCATGCAGTAAACTGAAGAAGGAATAAATGGGTTTCATTTGCATTACTTGCATCATATGCTTTTCTTAGAGCAATTTTCAAGCTGAATACTGAGTATGGCAGTATTAATTATTTGAGCTTTCATTCTCTTCAGATGAACTGAGGTCTTATGTAGATATTTCCTGAGAACCACTAAGTCCTTAAGTCATGGAATATCTTACGAACTTTCAAGTGTTACTTCAAACCAGGCCTTACTTTATAAAAAAGGTCAGCAAAACCAGACAAGAGAGCTCTTAACAAAATGTAAAGTATATCTTTCTGGCCTCTTCTGTCTGTATTTCTGGGAAAGCCTTCAAAATAAATCCTATAAAATGCAGGGATTTTCCAAGGCCCTGGGCAAAGATTGAGCCCATGATTCATTAGGCATCGCTATCAAGTAAGAGAACAGGGTCTCCCCCTGTCAGAGGTGACCATGGAAACTGGTTCTGTCTTCATCCACTGCTGCTGTGGAGCACCCGAGGCCACCGTGTCCCTTCTGCCACATCCTGCCTTCTTTCGTGCAACAGTGGAGAAGTCTGGGACAGTCCTTGTTGCATATTTGTCCAAAACACTGAATTTATCAACATCAGAAGGATTAGCAGTCAAGTTCCCTCTTATCTTGCCTCTTTTGGAAGGACATGAGGAAAGTTTCAGGACTATTGTCCAAGGAATTTCTGCTCTTGGTAGCATGGAGAAAAAGCACTGTGTCATATGGCAGCCAGAGAATTAACTATGAAGAAAAGGTGTATATATTTTTTTCTGTTGAAGAGTATTTACAATGTTTTAATACAGTCATGATGGTGAATTCTTTTCCCAGTATGGCACACAGTTTATCCCTTTATTTTTATGCTCCTGCCCAACACGTGTCCTTTTCTTTTTCAAAACAGACCATGAAAATACATTTTTCTGATGAGAGGCAGAAGGCATGGCCATTTAACTCTATGTTTTTATGCATTTACAGATGCAGCAGCTTGAGAAGCAAGTTATAGATGCTGATCGTCAAGCAGAGAGAGCATTTCAGCAGGTAATAAATGGAATAAATATCTCCACTAGCTGTGTGCATGTGGTACTCTAATGAGGTGAAATTTTGAGGAGGCAGTTTCTTTTCAAGTCTATTGACTTGTCTTAATGGAGAGTTTTAACACCTTTCTTTGCTCACTATTCAGTTCAGTTCAATAAAGTCAAAGCCAACATCACAAATCAAAAGTAGATACATGGAATGAGCTTCTTCATTGATGCCTCATAAGTCTTTGATATGTGATGCACCTGGAAACAAAAGAGAGAGGAAACAATGACCTGTTTTAGAAGATCTGTAAGAAAATAAAAGGAGACTACCCAAAACAGCCTCTAAATAGAACTGTTCTGTGTTGTTTGTTCCTCTTGTAGAAGTTACATCATTTACAGAACGAGATCATGGCTAAATATTTAACCAAAGTTGCCTTTTGGCCCCAAATGGCAGATTTAGCTACTGTAGGTATTTTATGAACGTACCTCTAGTATCCCTGAAACATTCCTCATATCTTACTGTGAGACAGACAGAAACAGAAAATTATAAGACTAAAAAATGTTCATGTACTAATTTGGAGTTAGAAAAAATTCCTGACTACAAGCCAAGTATTTTTAAGCAATTTTTTAGAATGCTACTGATAATTTGCTGGGGTTTTTTACAGTGTGCAATTGTTTATTTATTAAAACATTGTTTACAGCTCCCTGTAGATAAATTGCATTCTTCCCATGCTCCTGTTTTCTAAAAGCTTGTGTGTTACAAAACCAGAAGCGTCTCATAGATACTAACAAAATCTGTGTAAAATCCAGTGTTTTGCCAGTCCTGTTGGTATTAAATGCACGGGGACACATAACGAAATGTCAAATAGGCTTCAAAACTTTGCAGAGTTGTCTTGAATCTTAAGAGTGGAGGCAATTTTCAGTTTATTTTGTGATTAAATTACTACCTTTGACTTGGAGTGTTATGTTCCTTAAATTTTTATATTTGACTTCCCAAATAGGTACAGATCATGGAAGAGAAATTAAAAGCAGCAAATGTTCAAACAAGTGAATCAGAAACCAGGTTGTATAAGAGATGTCAAGATCTGGAGATCCTGATACAAGATAAAAATGATATAATACAAAAATTGGAGCAACAACTTGAAGAACAGGTTAGGAATAATGGTTTTACAAAAGAGAAACATCCAATTCCCTTTTTAATTACACAAAAAGAAAATAAAAATTTAGACCAATAGAGGACAGAAGAGTTTAGCATTATTTCTGTTGTTTGATTAAAGAGGTTCCCATTGGAAATGTATAATTGGAATAAAGTTTATTCCTTTTCAAATTATGCTCTGGCTTCCACTGAAAGAACATCTGACTTTTAAGGGAGGAAATATGATCTCCCTCTTCGCTGTCCCCCCTGAAGAGCTTTCATTTTTACTAGAGTAAAAGAGGAATAGCAGCCTCTGTGAAGTCCCTATTCCTCATTTTTTAAAAATCACCATGTATTACCCAGGAGTCTGAATTATTTCAAGCAATCTTAGGATTTGTGTCTGAAGATACTACTCAGGCAGATTATATTACTCAGTGAAAAATATGCTTATGTCAATTTTTTCCAGAAGCAAATAAGACTGCAAGAAGCAAAAATCATAGAAGAAAAAGCAGCTAAAATAAAAGAATGGGTGACAGTCAAGCTTCATGAGGTATAACTCTTGCTACAATCCTTACACAGAAAATATAATGGTGTGACTGGATATCCCTTAGACCTTTTGGCTGTTAAAGGCCTGTGTGCCATAGGAAAAAAAGTGCTTCCCAGTTGATCCCATTGATTTTATTTGCTGGAAAGAGGAGAATTGAAAACAACGGCACAGAGAGCAGAGTGTCCATGTCACCTAAACTCTGATGTCTGATTTGGTCAGCCAGTATAATCTGGGTCCTCTTTCTGGGCTGCTCTCTGCAAGGTCAACTTCTCCATTAGTTGAGAGAGCTTAGCTGGCAGACTGAGCTTATTCAAGCAGATGCCTAAAGTGTGAATAATCCCCAGAAAGCCGACCAAGCCTGCTGGGTCCTGGCAGAAAAAAGGCCTTGATCATTTTTTATTTCACAATGCCCACACTACTCTTAGTCATGAATAGTTTCAGGGACACCAGCTCTAGTTTCAAGAGACCAGTTTTCTCCCTTTTTTCTCTGCTGTGGTAAGATAACCATGTCTTTGCCCTGCCTAAGGCTGCCAGCTTTGGGGTGCAGCTGTGCTTTCTCCTCCCTGGGTGTAGAATTTGAAGTTGCCTGTAAAAGTTTAAATATTCTCTCTTTAGTTAACTGGAAGTTATACTCGAGTTGAAAAACAATTAAGTAATTGTTTTTGAAGTAAGAAACTAGAAGGTTCTTACATAAAATATTTATTTTTTGTCTGTGAGGGCTAAAGTAAAATATTTTTAAATAATTTAATAAAAATGCCATTAAATTTAGCTAAAATTACCATGAAAAAATTGGACAAAATCAAGTATGACTCAAAGTATTTACTTACTCTTTATGGAAAATCTCAAGCTAGTTTCACAGATGTGACTAAGTGTCACTCAGTGGGAAGTGGAATTGCTGGCTCCCTTCTGTGTGACAAGGGATATTCAGATTCAAATGTTTGCCCAATCTGGAGCAGGAGTTTGAACCAGCATCTTTTACCTCCCAGTGGTGTGCTACAGCAATGGGTTGTTGTTTTTTTTATTTCCTCTAGAAAGATTTTTGCTTTGTATAAAGTTTGTTGGCACCTATTTGTTTTGGGTTTTTTTTCAGTTTTTGCTGTGGGATGGTAAGGAGGAATTAGGACCATCATTTCCTCTGATTGCTCTGCTCACTCTTGGTTTTGCAAAGTGGCACAGGAGTTTGTAATTCTGGCCTTCTGCTTTTATTAAAAATGCCAATGCAGTTTTCATTTTCTCTTATTTATTAAGGATTTTTAAAACAGTCATGGGTTTGCTTGGTTGGAATGATTTTGGCAGAATCGAGCAAATAATCATTGCAGGGAATTTAGTTGTTCAGAATAAAGAGATGCCTAGACTGGTATTTAGAGAAGTAGCAGAGAGGAAATTATTATTTGAACTAGCTCTATCCTTAGATAAGCAGAAATTCAGAGAAAATGTAAATGATGAAATGAGTTTAAGATTTGTTTCACCAATGGATGAGATTACATTTATATGCTTTTAGTTAGAGGTGGAAAATCAGAACCTTCGCTTGATCAACCAAAAGCAAACCAAAGAGATGAAGACAGTACAATCTAGACTGCAAGGTAAATGTATAAATCTTCTGAAAACTTCTCTCCATATGGCATATTTCTTTCTATTCCCTATTAATATGACCATCTACATGATTGAAAATATTCTGTGAAATCACAAAGATTTCAGAGAGTATGAACTGACATCAGAATGACTGTACATTAATATGTTAGGAAGGAATCATTTGGTTTTATGCTGAAATGACACACAGACAAGGCACAAGTGGTTTTTGTGGGGTGAATGGGTACAGCTGTTACTTAAGAAGTTCTGCAAGTAATATGATTTTACTGGATTTAGGACAGGTCTTTGCTTTCACTTCTTTATAGCATAGGTGGTCATAAAACTATTAAAGAATACATGAATGTCAGTCTGCATTTGCTTTTTCTAGCAAGTGGTCAGCTGGGAATCAGAACTCCAATCAGATATTTTTAGTTACTACCTTTGACTACAGTGATCCAAAATCTTAATTCAGACCCAGTATTACCAGGTTCCTCTCCAAATGGGTATAGTAAATTTAAAAATTAAGAAGTGTAAGTAGAAAAAAATAATATCCTCTCCAAGGAACATTATTTCACATTGATCAAAGTTGAATTTTATTCACTACCATGTTGCCTGTTCACCAGCTTTCTTAAGTGTGTCTGAAGGTTCCCATTGCCCTCTCCATACCTGGTCGATCTGACAATTTACAGATATTTAGAAATCTGTGTAGCGAAGTGTGTGTGTGTGTGTACAAACATAATATGCATACTATATGAAAATACAAAAATTTTAAAATTCATTTTAAGTTAACAATATAAAGTTTTTAAACTAAGATGCAATTTTCTGTTAATGAAGAAACTGGATAGTTTTGCTTCTTTGCTGTCTTTTGATAAGCAGAAATTCCATTCACTTCTAGTCATTCTCTTCAGAGAGATCCATTTAAAGGCTTTTTGAGACCCTGCAGTTTCCAGCACACAGTTACTGATATGCCCAAAAATACTGAATTTATTACTATTTGCAGTGTCCATGCTGGTGACAGGCTATAAATTATGAACACATGGTACTGTTTTAAGCTGTTTTACTGTTTTAGAGGTAGGGTAAGGGCCTCCTGGATATGCCATAGAGATTTTTATGAACAGGGATGGACAGATTTAATGTTCAAGGCAGTTCATCAATTTCTGCTTTCACTTTCTCTTGAAGTCCTCCTCCATATAGACCTTCTAAACTTGTAACTTACTCTTCTGTATTTCCTGTGAAATTGTTCAAAGACACTTTTCTTTCTATTGTTATATCAATTTTTAAGAACTGGAAACATTGCTTTGAGTTTCTCCTGATATGATGAGATGTCAAGTAGGTTTTTTTTCCCTATAATACATTTCTTACTATCTTTTTTCCTAAATTTTAGTTACCTTTAAAAAAAACTGCACTGCAGAGTAGAGAGAAGAGTTGCATAGCTTGTTGTATCTCACTAACACAAGATTTCTGAATTACTATTCTTCAGAAGCTGCTGGTAAGAAATCTCTTACTTCAGCACAGAAACCTGGAGAGTGTCAGCGACTAAGCAGTTTGACTTTTGGATGCTTTTCAAATAGAGCAAGAAGTCCTCAACCTTCTCCTAAGCTTGAAGAAATAAGCAAGGCTTCATCTAAAGAGTCAGACTACCCTGAAGGCAAAAACATGCCAGGTACCTTGTCACCAACACTGCCATTTTATTCTGACACAAGTGGGAAACTAAAGTCAACAACTCTGCCAGTGTATCCAAACCAGCTGTTCTCAAAGTGCATACCAGTACTGCCTCCCTCTTCACTGCTACTCTTCTGTTACTCGGAAGAAATCATCCTGTTGAGCACTATAGTCTCTGTAATACCACTGATATATTATTTGGCAGCATGCAGAGGCTCCTGGGTCCTTCGGCTGCAAAGTAAAGATGTGGTTGTGACCTTTGTTATTCCTCTGGTCCTTTGCTCGAATCCCTCGTACTATTTATGACCTCCGTTTTTTCTCCATAGTTAATCGTGGTATCCAAAATGGCAAGCTGAGGTCTTTTGAAAATCAGAAACTGAAAGATATCCTATGGATATTTTGTGTATTTCTATCACAGCAAGTAATATGAAGGTGGCTGTGTATTATTACTTCTCTTTTTACAGAGGAGGGAATTGAAGTAAGAGTGATTTTTTCAAGGGAAAGGATAAGACATAGAACCTTAGGCCTGCCTAGATGGAAACAGATAATTTTGAGGAGTTCAGTTCTTTAATGTGAGTGAAATTAAAATCTTTGTCTTAGTCACTCTATTTTCATTTCACACAGGTATTTAACATAGACTTTTCCAAGTGTCTGTGTAGAAAAACTCTAGTTCTTGTATCTGATTTAATTTGGGAACGTACAGGCCTCACTAACATGTTGCAAGCTATAGCTCTCTCTTGCAAAACCAGGTAAAAGTGAAGAGCAGAAACAAAGCTATTTTTAACACAGTGTCTTTCCTGAAGTACTTTCCACTAGACTCTTTTGGATATATTAAGCACTCCCCATTGGGAATACATTAATAGCTTCCAGAATAAATTTATGTGTATAAACACTGTAGAAATGCTCAGAAAACTTGATTTGTTAATGAAAATTCTTTCTGACAAGCTTTTATTAAACTTTAATTTTCCTTAGATTTGATAAAGCAGCTAAATTTTTATGCCCTCTTAAGTACTCGGCTTGTGTTAGTTTTGTTTGTTTGTTTTCACACATACACAGCTTACTTTTAAAAATGGCTCCAGTCTGCTTATCGTTATATTTATTTCCATTTTTAGTTCAGCTTGAACTTTGAGTAATGTTTATTACAGTTTATTAGCACACATAATTTGCATTCAGTCACATCAAAAAATCTATAATCTTTTTCTTAATGTTTATTATTTACAATATTAAAAAACATTAATGTTCTCAGACATTTGAAATTATTACCTACTTACTACTTGCAGGCATGATGACAAAACCATTTATCAGTCAAGTTTGCTAAAGTAATTTTCTCATGTTCATTATATTTCTCCTCTAGAGAAGGATATCCTGGAAACTACCTTTGCTGGTCCTGTACACGAGACAAATAAAGGTCAGAAGTCATTGCAACAAAGTTCCTCTGGCTCAGAGCAAAATAAAAATGTGAGAACAAGCTGCTCATCCAAAGACATAGACAGTGACATGTCAAAGAACTCATGCACTACTGGGAGTGACTGGAGCTCAGATGAGGATGGAGGAGACAATAAAGGACTGAAATCCAGGTGTGCATCGACACTTTCAAGCCACACATCTGAAGAGAACACAAGGTACAGTAGAGTGGGAAGTGAAATGTATTTGACAGCGTCTGATGACAGTAGCTCTCTCTTTGAAGAAGAGAGTTTTGATGTTAAAAGGACTCAGCAAAAGAAGCTATACTCGTGGCAGCAAGGGTCTCAAAGAAAAGGCCTGAGCAATCCAGGTGGAAAGTGCAACTCTGACTTCGCAAGGAAAAAGAAAGACCAAGATAGTTCTTCAGATGAACTGAATAAGAAATTTCAATCACAGAGGCTTGATTATTCATCCTCATCCAGTGAGGCAAATACCCCAAGTCCAATTTTAACCCCTGCTCTGATACCCAAACACCCAATTCTAGCAACTTCTGCAGGTTCTCAGTGCCCAACTCCATCAGATTTTCCCTCAAATTTGCCACATCCAAAGTTACGGACTCCTAATGTCTTTAGTCTAAATTCGGTGCTAGCAAAGAAACACCTAAGCCAGCCCCAGCTGAGTTCTGACAGAATGTTTGGTAGGAATAGAAATGCCATCAGCATGATCCGTCCATGGAGACCTCAGGAAACAGACATAGATCTGGTGGATGGAGAAGATACTGATATTTTAGAGAGAATGGAGATTGGCTGTGATGAAGGACTGTTTACCTATGACTGCACTGAAGCACAAAATGCTGAAGCCCAGGAACTTTGTGATACGACAAAAAAGGGTGCCAGCAACAAACCTCCAACACCTCCATTACATCGATTTCCTTCCTGGGTAAGTGTGCTTATAGATATTTTTCCTGCTGGCAAAACTAACTTATTTTCATGATTCTCTTCTATGATTTTTGTTGCCTCTATTTTAATTACTTTCTGTTTAATGACAAGACAGGGCATTACCTTAATCATAACTACAAACTCAGAACCTAGTTTTATTTTCAGCACAGTATTCCTGCCATTGAAAAACATGGTCTATATTTTATAGATGAAACCAGGGCTTTTTTCATGTCACATCTAAGTTATGTATGTCTTTTTGAGTGTATCCAAGGATGTAATGCTTGTGACTGCATTTATTTATTTATCTGAACTCTAACATAGCCCAAGAATGCTGGTGTCAAAGCCCTTGCTGTAACCACTGTACCAGTAACAATCTAGACAATTAAGTCAAAAGCAGACAACTACAAATTACAGAAGTAATTGATCACATTTCCAAGTAAAATTTTAAAGCCATCAGTCAGGATATTAAAATAGATATCAAAATGTCTTACACAAAATCTAAAATTAACTGTGTCAAGACTCGCTTATTCTGCAGTTTCAGAGATTTATTAATTAATAATTTATTAAATATATTTATTTACTAATTATTATTCAGAGTAGAATAGTACTGTATGTAACAACTTCTCTCTATATATATTTTAGTCAAGTTTTTGCATTATACGTTTTCTTATAGTAGCCTTGTAACACAAAATGGTTGAAAAGTTGTCTCCTAATGGCATTTCTCTGCTCCTAACACACAATCTTCCATTAAAAGACATTGTTGCTATAGCTTCTTTGGCACCTGGTAATAGTATTTTTAATAAGTTACTTATATTGTATGAAAAATGTCGGAAAAGGCTATGGCTATGATGTGTACAGCATAGAAAAGAAGGATGCATTTTTCAGTTGCTATTGACAATGTCATTTTATGAACCATTTTATCACATAGTTGCACTACCACAAAGACTAGAAAGGTAAAGAGAACAAAACTAATTCTTGTGTTTTAATTATCTACTATTTAATCCATTCTGCTTGTATAGGAAAGTAGAATTTATGCTGTAGCCAAATCTGGTTTAAGGATGTCTGAAGCTTTCAGCATGGAATCTCTTAATAAAAGTAAGTGGTTTAGTTGTTCATTATCCCATCAACAAATGTTCTCTTCTTATGGTGATTTGTGGGCAAGGACCTTGAAAATATTTTTAGACAGATTTAGTTATCAGCTCTTTAAAACCTAGAAGATCATTGGTTATCTTTCCATTGTCTTCTGGTACCTTACATCTTGACTTTGCACTGAATTTGTACTTCGTTCACTCCAGTTTGCTTTGCATTTCACTACTTTGAAGATTCTATACTGGGTACCAATTTAAAAAGTTCTAGTGTTCATGACTGCAATTTTATTTATGTTTTTAAAAGCATTGGAAATTTCAAAAAATATTTAAATCTCACATCCAAAACACTTCAGGAGTTAGTTTGCTTTTTGTAGCAGTTATACAACACAAAAAAATATTACATTTTAATTTCATCAATTGGGGGATGAATTAGGAAGGCAATTTATAAAATATGTTGCTTTTTTAGGTGCTGGTTCACTAACTTCATGCTCCATATCTGGATTATATACTTCTCTGATATATAAGAACATGACCACTCCTGTCTACACCACTTTGAAAGGGGTAAATGTATTACTGTTTAAAGAAAAATTTTAAATACTATTAGGCTTCACATCCAGGAACTTGCTATTTTATATTTGATACTACTATGCCCCAAATATGTTGTAAGTTGATGTATAGAGATCAAAGACCCTCAGAAGGAATAGAAATGTCAAATAGCTGGGGAAAAAAAATACTGCCTATAAAATGTTACTGGCCTAGATCAATTCTTCTTAGGTTCCTTGCTGATTTTTTTCCAAAGGCTTGTTAATTATTAAGCAGAACCACATGGTGCTCAATGTCATAATTAAAAGTGTGTGTATATGTAGAAATGGCTTTGTGTCAGTGCCAAAGCTGTTTCTAGTCACACAGCCAGCAGTCAGCAATCACAGCATTGTTTGTTTTCTGGCAGCCTTTTGTGATGTGGAAAGACCCATGCCTTGAGCTACCTCAGGTTTCTGTTTTAGAGTATGGGTGTGGTTGAGTATACGGAGGGCAGAGGGAATTCAGTTTCATGTTAATATTTGGTGCCAAAACTCTCAACCCAGGCAAGAACAGCTTTGAGTTTTATGAAGCCAGCAGAGCCCTGCCACAGTATGAAGGAAATGACTGACTACCCTTTAAGCAAGGTATGAAAGGATGTTGTGTTCATTTCTGCAGAAAGCAACTCAAATAAGCAACAGCCCATTTCTAGATGAGTCGTCAGGATCTGAGGAAGAAGACAGCTCTCGCTCCAGCTCCAGGACTTCTGAGTCTGATTCTCGAAGCAGAAGTGGCCCAGGGAGCCCTCGGGCTATGAAACGAGGTAGGCAAAACCATCTGGGAACTTTGGCAAACTAGGCAGTTTCCATGATTTTCTTAGGAATTGTTTTTTTTCTTAAACAGTGTGGACATCTAAAATCTAGGCTCTCAAAGCCCAGATCTATTACTCAATCAGGAAAAAGGACTGTTATAGATGGCTTTCTTTTTATTGCTGTTATTATAGATACCTTCAAGGCATTAATCTGGTAGCTGGCTGTTGTCATGGGGGAAAAGTGACTTGTACATTTAAAGCAAGAAGCACCATTCTGTCTATACTCTGTCATGCCAAGGACTTCCTGTGACTCTTAACTGTAGAAAAATAAAATATGACATAGAAAAAAAATCGCCATCAGAAACAAAACACACATATATTCAAGTTTATAAAACAATTTCATGTGATCAGAAAGCAGGTGGAAAACTTCCCTCAATAAATTATTTGGTTCTGTCACCTCAGGCACTAAAAGTGTTCTTTCATTTCTACAGTGATTGTCTTAAGGTCCTGTGCAAAGATTTAGTTAGAACACTTGAATCTGGTAATGCTTTGTGTTCTGTGGAAGACAAATCTCAAAGTTCTAGGTGACTGTTTTCTGTCTGCAAAATGGAAATAATAATGTTTCATAATATTGAAATATACAGTCCTTCCTCATTAGGTGACATTATCAGTGCTACATCTCTGTGCAAACCAAGAGAGACCAAGATCCCAGTGAGGCCAAGTGTTAACATCCTTCGTTTTATATTGCTTTAGAAATGCTAAATAACATTATTTGGTAGTCTCAATTATACATGTAAAAATCCCAGTTAGCAGGATACCCATTCAGTGACCCTGGAGCAGGTTGACAGAGCTACTGGTCCCACTTGGCATTTTCCAGTGGCAGCCACAGTCCTGTTTCCTATGATGTAGTTTTGCCACATTAGTATGAAAAGGACCCACAGATCCTGCTTCCCAGCAGCTCCATCCTGCTGAGCAAAAACCAGTGCCATGGCTGCAGACATAACTCATATTTTGGGCTTACACAACAGGAAAGCTGAAATGGATAATTTAAAAGCTGGTTTCACTTGCACTTTATATCTGTGTTTGTAAAATAGAACCATTCCTTTTGCCCATGCTTTCCTCCCATAAAATAGTCCTTGCACTGTTTCGTGTGTGGAAACCTTTCTTAACCACAAAACACACATGTACATACCGTTGTTGAAACCACATTCTTTAAAAATCTAGGCAGTCACGTATTTCACCAAAAGCATGATTAGCTCGCTGCAGTTTAAGGAAGATCCACCATGAGAAGAACCCACTCCGAAAGTCTTGGTGGCAAAGCAATACATGAGAAAAGCCATTTTTAAGAATAAAATTGGCAAATGAGTTGGGAAATTCTTGAAACAAAGGAAAGGCCTTTTTATTTCAGTTTTGGAGAGTGTAACACTGCAGAGTGGAACAGCAGTCCTTACAAAAGAACACGTTTACATGCATGGAAATATTTCTATAATGGATGAGGGAGGAGTTTGGATTTTTATTACTGATTGACTAGAATTGAAAGCAGGATGCATTCTTTTTCAGGATTAAAGCTAATAGACTCTAAAACCCCCTGAAACATGAAAATCAAACTTTTAGAAGACCTTGGTATACAAATTCAAACTGATTGCAAAACACAGTCACCTACAGCTTCAACACAAAGCAGATGTTGAGTATGACTTAGTACACAAGCAGTTGCTTGAGAAATCTGGATGCTACAGTGAGTGAGAGAAAGTGCAGGGGGAAGGTTGCTTAGTTTAATTAAAGATCCTGGGGTTTTTTCTAGACAATGGGTATGATTCATGGCACTAACTCTCTCCTTAAAGAAGCTATGGTAATGTAAGATATGATAATATACAGAACACATTTTTTTGTTGTTCCATTTACAAGGGACTTTAACTGTTTAATTATAAATACTATGAGAATTAGCACTGCGCTAATAGTTCAGTGTGCTGATATTTAAAAAATCCTTGGTCCCTGATGGAGTTATGTTGATACTAACATTTGCCTGCAGATTCTATTCAGGTGCTCTTTCTGCACGGCTATTCTGATCTCAGTTGTTTCTAATGTAATAAAAAAATACATTAAAAACTCTTTTTTCTTTTACCACAGGCGCATCTCTGTCTTCTGTGACCTCGGAAAGTGACTATGCTATTCCTCCAGATGCATATTCAGTAGATACAGACTATTCAGAGCCAGAGCAGAAACTTCCTAAGACCTCATCCTCATCTAGTGATAATGGAAAAAATGTGAGTACTGAAGTTCTGTGAAGAAGTGCACCTGAGTACTGTGTGTATATTTATGTTCAAAGACTGCTACCAAACCTTTTCATTCAGTCTTGCTGACTCACAGACTGCCTTTTGAGTACAAACAGCAAAATATACCAACAATGTTAGCTAAATAAGACTGTAATTAGTGAAGGAAAGTCGAAGATAATGCCAAGCTTTCCTATATAGTGAAAAAAAAATAGATGAACAATTCCAACAATTGAAAATACTTGAGATTTCCTTTCTTGGAACCAGGTCTGATACCAGATTGCATATGAAATACTCAAAACAATTTAAAATTATTATTTGAATAGTGAGGTAAATAGAAGGGCATTCCAAGAAGGAGCTGAAGTCATCAGTGGAAATCTATGTGCAGAAATAAGTTTCTATCCTTTCCTCATAGAGGGAAAACATCAGAGAAATCCTAGGTAGAGTAACATGTGAAGACAGGTTTCTTTTTGAAAGAAACCAAACCATTATGAGATATTGGTCAGCCTCCAGGAGTTTTTTAACGGCTTGTGTTAGTAGTTAGTGTCTTAACATACAAGTGGGTTGATTACCTGCTGATGGAAGCTTTCTTCACAGAGCAAAACTGTGACTCTATTCTGCAGATGTACACACTAGAGGTTTGTCTGTGAGGAGCTCAGAATTACAGTGCTTTATTTCTGGTTTTTAGGTTAGGACCTGGACTTGAGAAAAAAATACATTTATCTTTTATTCATCTTGTTCCTTGTTTAATATAAACAACTAGAAAGTAAAATGAGAAATCATATTCTTCATTCTTTTGTATAGTTTGGGGCACTTATTTTCCTTCATGTACTATAACAGTAAGTAGGGATATTCATTAGTCATCCCATGTGCATGACATTTGTCTTAATTGATGCTTGTAAAAATGTTGTCCTTGGATTAAAAGTCTCATGCAATACTATAATTATTATTTAGCATGCTTTTAAGTTGTTAATATATCTCTCTGTGTGTATTTATACATATTTCTGGGGGGCAGAGGTATATATGTGTATCTAACCACTTTTTATCTAACTTTTAAACAACCAGGAACCTTTGGAAAAATCTGGATATCTGTTAAAAATGGGTGGTAAAGTAAAGACCTGGAAACGACGGTGGTTTGTGCTTAAAGGAGGTGAATTGCTATATTACAAATCTCCAGTAAGTATGTGTAACTTACCTGTTGTTTTGTGTTAGATTGTTTACTGCTAATTTAAGGCTGCTAGAAGGAAAAAAAATGCACTTCTGGTTTCTGAGCTGTTAGAGTGATTCAGTACTCATTTCCTTAAAAGGTGTACAAGGTACACAATGTCTAACTAGAAAGTATTTATCAAGATTAATGTTTAAATTAGTCCTATATTAATTTATTGTCGTTTGTTAGTAGATTTAAAATATTCTTTCTCCATTCTTTCCATACCAGAGTGATGTTATTCGAAAGCCTCAAGGTCAAATTGAGCTAAATGCATCCAGCCACATTGAAAGGGGTGATGGAAAACAAACAATTCAGGTACCTGCTTCTCTCCTCTATTGCTGTTTCAGGATTCCCTCCATATCCAAAGCCAACTCCTTGTTCCAGTTCCTACAGCACTGGAAGTCAGGCTTGGACTTGGAATTAAAGAATCAGTGGCTTTTATTTAAAACCAAAGAATTGTTTCAGTGACAGAAAATATAAAAAGACTTGCCTGGAGTCTTATTTGTATTGCCACAAAGGTTAGATTATCACATATGGGATATAAATAAAGATAGCAGTTGTGGGGTCAGCCATTGGAGTAGAGAGAATTCATTTGTCTGAAAGGAGACTTGACTTTTCTCAACTTGCCATCATAGAACTTTCCAAATAAAGATTTAGAAAGAGTCTGTCTGCTCTGTCTGGTCATGGAATGTTTAATTACTAAAAAGTACTTCAGGGAAGATAAACTCCCTGAAGTTATGAAGCTACATTGGGTGGTGTATGTTACAAATCCCACACTGTGGGGTCAAATATGTTAAGCTCTTGAAGCTCAAGACTCTTTGTTACTACACAGCTGACCACAGAGAAACGAACATACTACCTGACTGCAGATTCCCCCAACATCTTAGAGGAATGGATCAAAGTACTGCAGAATGTTCTTAAAATACAGGCTGCCAGCCCACTCTTCTCACAGTCTGAAATCAAGCCAGCCATGAAAGGATTACTTACAAAGGTAGGAAAACACTTCTTCTCCCAGTGTGCTTTACTCCAACACTGTTTAGGCCAACACTGGCCTTATGATGCTTTAGATGAGCATCTCATCTAATGCTCTGATTCTTATGCCCTTGAAAGAATTACACAGTTTTAATTTTATGTCTAGTAATGTGGATAGGAATTTGAACCAAGACATGCATTCCCAATATTGCCAAAGCTCAAAGATGGTGAAAATAGTCAGTATTTCTCTATCTGTGGTTATTACTAGTGTTCTGTAATTACAGGTGAAACATGGATATTCCAAAAGGGTTTGGTGCACCCTAGTCGGAAAAATTCTGTATTATTTCCGTAATCAAGAAGACAAGGTAGGTCCCTTTCTTGTTTCTTCAAACAGTAACCTACAGCTTTATTAAGGTACAGTTGGACTTGGTAATATACTCAGATTGTCAACTTGGAAGATTCAATCTAATAGCCAGAAATCCAGGCCACACCCATGGGTCTCTTTCTACAGGAAGTGATACATATTATGCATGTTATCACTAGCTGGAGGGGGACAATGGTTTGCCTGGAGTTCAGGTGTCCCTTTCTGACAGGCATAAGAAAAGACCCAGCTGTTACCTGTAGTTCTGGATGCAGCCCCTTTCTTATGTCTCTTGCAGTGGGCAGTCACTGCAAGGTACAAGAATTTAAATGTTCTTTCTGTCCCTCAGCTGACTTCCAAATCTTGTTCTTTTGTATATTGCTGTACGTTCACAGTGCTGCGAGAGCTAGGACACTTCCTAGACATGATTTTCACCTGTTCCTTTTACTCTCAAGGCATTGTATTTTGTCATCAAGAAACATCTTTTTAATGGAGGCAAGTGAGAAACAGGATTTTGAACAGTCCACTGAGCCATTATAAAAAAAAAAAAATCAACATAAATTCTTGTATTTGTACTTCTGTTTTAAGAAGATAATCACACTGAAGCCAGTAACTCATAGCTTTTATATAGAGCCAGATATTCTCTTTGTCATCCTTTGCTTTTATAGCCATTTTAAACCTCAACAAAACCCCATTTCCACAACTATATGAATAAGATAGCTGTAACCATCCATCAAAACATGTTTCTATTAATTGCTCTTTAAAACACTGTAAAACAGGGTTTGGGAATCAACTGGCTAGCGTATTAATCTCAAGATCATCATATAGAGACAAAATTAACTTACAGCTTCTCCTAGGGAAAAATCTCTGTTTAACATATCTGAATTTATACATTTTTACCACTGAAGATTTTGGCATTTTAACATGCTCTTTAGTTAAGAATTTTGCTGGAATCTTGGGAATATTTCCTTCACATCTGGAAGAAGTTTAGCTGCCCTTTTAAAGTAAAATTGAAACTAATTTGCTAACTTGGAACAGAATGAGAATTCAGCTTTTGTAAGCAGAAAATATATGAAAAGTTTTCCAAAGCTACTTTATTTCTAATGTTCAACAATACACTAATTGAAATCATGTTTTCTGTAACTGACTTTGTCTGTGCAGAAATAAATTACACAATCTGCAGTGGTTAATACAATAATGGAGTCCATTTAATTGACCTCTTTTCAAAATGGAATTCAAACTAAAAAGTCAGCCAATTGTGTTTTAGTTAAACCTGGTGAATAAATCAATCTTGACTACTTACATGTGAAACAACATCCTTTGATTCTCAGAATCTTATTTTATTCAAAAAGTTGAATGCTTTAGAAGCACTACAGAAAATACGAATCACCACATCATTTTTTAGTGTTGCTATAGAAAAGGAGTTTAGTGTAGACTAGCCAGTCAGCCTCTCTCAGTCCTGTTACCCAGTTGTGAAGAGATTTCATGCTTTATTTATGTTTGTTGAGGCTTCCTGTTGATAAAGGCTATTAAATAATTCCTTCTGTGAAAATTTCCTCTTGAATGGGTTTTTTAGATAAAGTATTTCCTGATAAATTATACTAACTACATAAACATCTCAACACTGAAGTTCTGTGATCTCTCAGACTGGAGAAAGAAACCAACTAGAAGGCTTATCACACAAAAAATTTACCTTTTGAATTCAGAGTATGAACAAATCAGATACATCAAAAATACATTCCTTTCCTCTAAAATAACAAGATCCTAATTAAAGTTCTAGGCTTCACACAAGAAATTTTTGCTTTGAACCAGGTTTGGGAACTCTAAAGAATGACTTCTCTCACTGTAGCATACATTTATTGTGTTAGCTATATAGAGAGGCCGACCTGCAAAAGAATTTTTGAGAGCCTCATTTTCAGACTTTGGCACCTATCATTCTCATTTTGCTCTCTGCAACATCTGGCATATCTGACATTCCTTGGCAGGACTGAAAATGAGTAAATATAAATGAGTATGGACAGTAGTTCATGTTTTAATTTCTATTTGCAGAATAAGAAAATAATTGTGCATAATAAATACAATAATATGAAATACAAAATCAGTGTGCACTGAAACAAAGATTACCCCTCTCACCAATTTTGATATTTACTTTTAGTTTCCTCTTGGTCAAATCAAGCTTTTTGAGGCAAAGGTTGAAGAAGTTGATAGATCCTGTGATTCTGATGAAGATTATGAAGCCAGTGGTCGCAGTTTATTATCAACCCATTACACTGTTGTTATCCACCCCAAAGACCAAGGACCCACTTATCTTCTTATAGGATCCAAACACGAGAAGGTAAACAATGGATATTTTTATTGAGTTTCAGTAGCACATCTATGAGTATGGTGCTGTGATAAGAATATTTCTTGAGGAGGACAAGGACTACAAGTCACCTGGTTTGCATTTTGATATAATAAGGAGAAGGTTCTGCTTTATTAACATCAGAGTTTGTCTGCAAATCAGTGCTAGTAGGTAATCCTTGTTAAAATAGAGAAAAATATACAGGCTTGCCTACAGAAGTAGATGGTGCAGAACATCTTATATGCTGTAATGAGAATTTTGCTCACATACAGTAACCTGGAGACAGAGCTGTAGCTGAGAGGTTCAGGGTGCTGGTATCCATTTTCACTGACAAGACTAACATAGCACAGACTTGCCCTACTGCAGTAAAGGAGCAATGAGAGGTGGGGTTAAAACCATTTTTATTATTGTTGCTTCATTGTTCTCAGGTAATCTTGTAGGGCTCATTTTGCTTTCTGGCCTTATCCCCAGGTTAGCAGGATCTGGCAGTGATAAAAAAATTACTTATGTAAGCTTTTGGAAGAGGAAAGGAAGAATGCCCTGATAACTAGACATGATTTCTGAGGGTAAAAACTTTTGAAGAGAGCCCTGTCCAATCTTACTTGTTTAATATTTGTAACATAGAGACCATGAATACCTGTTTATTCAACCAAAGGCAAACTCCTTTGGGGTTTCAAAAGGAGTGCATGGTAGGGTTTCAAGTTGAGAGCAAAATCTTGATGAAGCAGCTCCTTCCAGCACGGAATGAATGAGCTGCTATGTTTTTCTGCTTTAGGACACGTGGCTTTATCATCTCACAGTTGCAGCTGGAAGTACCAGTGTAAATGTTGGATCTGAGTTTGAACAACTTCTTTGCAAATTATTAAATGTGGAAGGTGATGCCAGTAAGTTTATTTTCATTTCAACAAACTGATCTTCCAATGCTTATTTAGTAAATGTACTTACAAACTGAATTAATTGCAAAATGTATATATTTTATCTGTTTAGCTTCTCAAATTTGGAGACATCCTACCCTTTGCCATAGCAAAGAAGGAATTACTTCCCCTCTTACAACATTGCCATCAGAAGCTCTGCAAACTGAAGCAATTAAATTATTTAAGGTAAAACCATAACAGATGCCTTTTTTTATTAACTGACTATTTTAACTCTTAGCTAAAGAAGGGCTGTTATTTGGCTTACTAGAAATATTCAACAGATTAGAAAAAAGAAAAGAGAAATTTATTTTTATCTTTAGTGGAGGTAACTAATGGAGAGCAGCAAAATGTGTCCATGTTACCTCACCAAAGACTATAATTTCCAATATAAAGATGAATTTTAGTTGTGAGGGAGCAGTTTAGGCTTCAGCTTTTCGTGTTCCTACTTATTTGATAAGTTATTGACAAAGTGCAAGTGAGTAGAAAAATCCATGGCCACCATGAGTGATAACATTTTTACCTTGAAGTTCATAGTTTCAAAGAATCTAACAGCATGGACAGATCTCTGCATTCAGAAAACTGTATCAGAAACACTATTTATTCAATTAGATTCAGGAAAAGAATCATAGGCAAAACTTTTGTTGCAGATACATTTAAATAATCAGGGAGATATTTTCAAAATCAGAAGAAAAAGCAAATTTTAAGTTTAGGCAAGTCATGGATTATTTAAAACTGAGATAGAAAGCAGAGATTGTACTGCTCTTTTTAATAAAAGAAAATACTTTCATATGAAGTAGATATTCTTAAAAGACCAATTATTCAGTAATACAAATTCTAGAGCAAAATTATTAGAAGTATTTCACAAGAGTTCTTTGAGTTCACTTTTAAAGAGCCTCATAGATCTTTAAAAATAAACATATATATATATGTCCCAATAGTAAAAATGCTGTATGATTAGAAGGCACATACTGCTTCATAACCACTGGGCCACAGCTAAGTTCTTGAGAAATTCAATCTGCCTTACAACTTTCCCAGTTGAATGCCAGGTAGGCAATTGATGCCTGTGAGAGGGAGTATGCTGCAATGCCATTAACCTGCTCCAGGCTATAAAGTCTATTTCAGACACAAAATAAGATTTTGCTGTTCCTTTTTCTGTACATTCTGACATAAATTACAAGTTGGAAAGCATGGAAGTTGGATAAATGAACTTTCTCCACAAAACTTACACAAGTCTAAAGAAGGAACTCCCTGAAGCATCAATTACCTGGAGAATTTTGATGTTACGGTTCAGATCTAGAGAAGAGTTCAAGACAAGCACTGTATGTTTAGTCATGGCCACTTTTAGGCACACTTTCCAGCCTGTTTCTCTGGAATGTTTGAAGCACTTCAAAAAAGTACATCCATCTTATTTCTGCAATCCTGCTGCATGAAAATTTACAAGGAAATTTACTTCTTTGATAAAAACAAATTTACACCTACTGGGAAATCACTTTTCAGACCTCATTCTAATAAGACACTTGCCTAAAGTAAATAAGAGATAACTTGTATGACCTTTATTGAAACCTTGTATAAATCAGCTAAGAAGTCAGGTAGGGAATTTATTTAGAAACAGATCAAGTCATGTTTCAGTTATCCCATTTATGATAAAAATAGACTAGAAATATATCGGGCTTCCAAACAGTTCTTGTATTTTTGCTTATATCCCTTAAAAATTCAGCTGTTGTATACAATAAATGCAATGAGTGATACATGTGCTTTCTTCTAACACAGCACAACAAATGCTTAACATCTGGCTTTCCTGAGACAGTACTGGGTATAGGAAAGGTCAATACTTAACCTACAGTAAAAATACCATGGAAAGCCAAGATGTAAGTCAGTGGCTCTGAGTTATGGATTTTTTATCTGTGTATATGCTGCTGTGTCGTGCTCACTACTTACAAAAGCATTTTACTTTGTCTGGCACTGGGAGCTGTAGACATTGAATTTCCAAGTCCTGTAGAGGGGTGAGCTGTGTTCAGCATGTCCTTAAACTTGCCTACCCACAATTGTTCCAACTCCTATTACAGTTCACTCCATTGGATACAGAGTGAAAAGCATGGGTTGTAGGAGGTGTTTTATCTCAAGTCTCTCTGTATAGATTTTCATCCATTCTGGCCCCTTTTCAACCCATTTTGCAGAACCAGCAGGGTTTTCTAAGTTTACTGGTAAACTTACTAATTGTGATTTCAATTAAAGTGCACTTTTGATATACAGAACATCTTAAAGATTTATTGAAGCTCCCTTGTATGTAAACTCACTTGCTTATTATTTTACATCTAGACCTGCCAGTTGTTTATAAATGCTGCAGTTGACTCTCCTGCCATTGATTACCATGTATCTTTGGCCCAAAGTGCTTTGCAGATCTGCCTCACGCATCCTGAACTTCAAAATGAGATCTGTTGCCAACTTATTAAACAGACCAGACGTCGACATCCACAAAACCAGGCAGGACCAATACAGGTAACCCAGTATTTATTTTAATGGTATTGATTTTGGCACAATGAAGGAACTACACAGAGTGTTTAGAATGGTAAAGAGGCGCTGCTCTTCTGCAGCATCTGCTAAGTTAAGATCCAATTCACTGCTGCTGTGTTTTCCTAAAGCAAAGCTGATGCTATCCTCCAACAAAGTATATGTATCTGGTGGTAGAGTATATCTCTGCCCATGCTGTTTGTAAAGGGTGTCTTCATAAAATAAAATGGGCTGTCTTCAAGTCAAGCGTTAAGTAAGAATGTATGAAACCTAATTCTTTTTTACTGCTTCTTTCCTAAGAGAGGTGCTGCCTCAGGAAGCTTGGTGGGCTAAACCACATGGCAAATGACTCACTAGCATGAGTGTGAAGTGAAGCTGTGGTGCCATGTAGTCGAATCTTAGATAAGACTCAGGGCTCCTGAGAGATCTTCCCTCTTGTGTGCCATGCTGTTCTGCATTCACCCTGCATGCTACATTTTTAATACATACTTGAAATTCTTCCCTTTGTCAACTGCCAGCTATTCACTGCTATCCAGATAAAAAAATGAACTGGAATTGAAAGGAAAGCCAATACTTGGAGCTTGCATAGAATTAACAGAACTGGAACATTACACTTATGATGGAGCAATGCCTACAGAAGTAGGAGATGGATCAGAAAATGAGAAAGGAAGTTACCATATCAAGGCTTCTGCTTTAGACATGTTTTTCTCTTGCCACAGAAAGTAGAACATGACCATCAGCCATACCCATAACCTAGAAACAGCCTGTATCTGGGACATGGCTGGTGTGTGGACAGGCACTGGAACAGGTTGCCCCGAGAAGCCATGGGTGCCCCATCCCTGGAAGCTTTCAAGGCCAGGTTGAATTGAGCTTGGAGCAACGTGGTCTAGTGGAAAGTGTCCCTGCCCATGCAGGGGGTTGGAACTAGAGGATCTTTAAGGTTCCTTCCACTCTATGATTCAATGTATGCATTGCTGAAAAATTCACAAAGCTTTTGTGACAGGGTACATTAACGTCAGTTAGCACACACTGAAGCTACATATGGCTGATGGAACTTACTATAACCCTTCTTTGGTACTCTCCTTACCATTGGCAAGGCCCTCCCTCCGATGCAGATAAATAAATTGTTGTCATACTAACACCCTGGAATGATTTTTAAGAGGTAATACATGCAGTAAAATGTTTTTAGCCTTACACTAAGTTTTTCAAGTCCTAAATTCCTGCTGTAGTCTCCTACCCTTGCTTCTGCTGCAGTATATATACCTTCAAGAGAGCCAATGCTATCCTCCATCGAAGTATAGATATTTGATGAAAGGGAATATCTGTGCCAGTGCTGTCAAATTTCTGTTTAGTACCAGGCAAGTCAGATAAATCAAGAGAGAGAAACAACAGTTTTTAAAATCTCAGTGTGAAGCATTGTTTGTGATTGATTGTGAGGAAAGTAGTTGCAACATTAGTAAGTGTATATCAGGATACATGAGAGCACTCTGTATTAAGTGAAACCAATGGATACATACTGAGCAACAACAATATACCAAAATATTGAATAATTGTTTTTTTCAATAGTTACTGACAATTTGGTAGGAGAAAAAATGTCTTATGTGTTGCTTCATAATATGTGTAACAGGAGAGTTGAATTAAAATTGAACAGGCTTCTCTTTATTTCATACTGCTTGGCCTTGCAGCTTCAATATTTCTTTTCCTTTGTACTAACTGCTTTTTATACAAACTCAGCTGCTTTCCCATTTCCAGCCCCAAAAGAAACTTGGTGTGCACATGTAAATAGACACAGAGTATTGGGCCTTTCAATGAGGTGATATGCTTATTTACTCAGCTTTTTCTCTGTGTTCTCTTTTTTTTAATTCCTATTTCAGCAGTCTCAAGTTGGCACAGTAAGCTGCACGACTGGCTAGCAGCCACAGCAGGAAGTTTTATGTTGTAGGATGTTTAAAACAGTGAATGTATTCCTTTTGTTCAGGGCTTGCAGCTCTTGGCCCTCTGCGTTGGACTCTTTCTGCCCCAGCACCCATTCCTTTGGCTTCTTAAACTCCATTTAAAGAAGAATGCAGATTCCAGGTGTGCCTGAATATTATTACCCAGCTAGTCAACTGGGCTTTCTGAAGTACCTTTTTTCAGTCTTTCCTGTAATATATCAGATCTTTTGACATATATTTTAAGATGAATTTGAGTAGAATTGCTACTAAAATATAGTACATGTTACTTCTGTGCATCACTTGGGAAAGTTATAAGTTTTTTCAAAAAATACATATTTTGCAGTGCATACTCTGACTGTATGTTGCAAAACAGTGAAAACCAAAATATGGCAGTTACACAACACACCCTGAGCCATGTTCATCTTTGGCACAATTCTGCTGCTCTCAGTAGACCAATTCTCTTTCTAATTCCATGTGAAAAAAAATGTGTTGGAAATCTCAACAAAATCTGAGTGCTCCTCCCATCTGGCCTCTCCAGAAATATTCACTCACAGTTTACTATCCGTTCAACCAGTCCCCAGGAATTGCCTTATTTCTCTTTTTGCCACAGGACTGAATTTGGGAAATATGCTATATATTGCCAGCGCTGTGTAGAACGTACCCAGCAGAATGGAGACCGAGAAGCCAGACCTTCCAGAATGGAAATCCTTTCCACTCTCCTGAGAAATCCCTACCACCATTCCCTGCCCTTCAGTATTCCAGTTCATTTCATGAACGGCATATATCAGGTAATGTCATGCAGGCCACGAAATCTGAGCTCTCCCAGCCCCCTGCTGTCAGCATATGCATGAAGCAGTATATCAAAAAGAGAACTTTAAGGCAAACATGGCTCAAGTTTCATCCTGTGTCAGTGCCAGCAACGCAGGCATAAAGTACTTGTGAACTGATTTGATCAACTAAGAGTAAAGGTTTGGGAGAGAATCTTGAAGAGAAAGAAAAAAGTAAAACCTTGTAAGAGTGAGAACTGCCAAAACTCTATTTTTTATTTAACCTGACCACCAGATGAATGAATGAGACTGAAGGAAAAGGAAAGGCATTAAATTCCACTTCCTTTCACCAGACATCTTGGAAGTTAAATATCTCAGTGAAGGTCTGGAAGTACAGCTGTAACTCCCATTATCAATCCTGAAGGATAACCATATTTGTTACAGAACAATCATGGCTCCGTTCTTAACTCTTTGGGGATGTCATTAGTCAAAGGCTGTAGGAAACCAAATTCCATGGGCTTCCGAGCGTGCTGCTTCACATCCTGGTTTGTATTTCCAGCTGTGAGAGATGGCTGAGAAGAGTTTTAACAATTCACAGTATTCCTAGATAGAAGGCAACTTTTTGAATATGAAATCAAAGCTATATCAAATAAATTTTTCATTTCAGGTCACAGACGAACTCTGCATTTTTTCACCTCTAAGTTTCTTAATTGTTTACTGTTTGCCCAGTAAAACAGGACAAAACCAACATCCTTTAAATCATCTTAAAGGGTTTCAAAATTGAAGTTTGGAGAAGAAAAGGAGTAACTGCTCATTAGTTATTTACTGCCCAAAACTGTATAGTTCCAAGGGCTAGGAAAATTGTAATTAAAGACATAAATTACTTCAGTGGGACCAGCAAATAACAATTACAGTGGTATTAAAAACTCTTGTATTAATCTCTGAAGATTTCTCAGATTTTACTTTAATGCCAGCCACTGAGAAGTTCAAACAAAAGTTCATGATCCATTTTCAAGACTTTTTTTTTATCAAAAGATTTTCAACATGTCAAGTACAGGAAAACACCCTCAAATACAGATTTAAGTGAACATCAGTCATATCTGTAAAGAAGCCATTGCCATCTCATGCTAAAATGCTTCAATACCAGTCACAGCAGACAGAAGTTCATATTTGGAGAAGTAAAATTTACAAGGTTCTGTATACTACTGACCTGTGTAATAGTGATGAAGCAACATTCATGAACTATTTTGGATCTGCCAGTGTAGGTCTGCCACCTGATACCTCTCTAAAGTTTCACATGATGAAAAATGATTAATTGATCTCATTTGCTTCTCCACTACATTGGAAGGTGCAGGAAATTATAATCTTCCTTTTTCAAGTGGTATTTGTCACAAAAAGCTCAGAGACTAGACTGCTATCTGTCATATGAATTCTGTAATAGAATTCCAAGTGTAGCAAATGCAAGGAAATAAATTCCACTAAACTGATTTCCCATGTGGAAATCTTTTCCAGGCCCTTTATGGCAAGTTTTAATTTCCAATGACAGTAATGGATGGAATGGGTCTTATAGTCCCACTGTTATTCTAGAGGTATTATATTTCAAAATCTTAGATTTAAGGGGGGGAATGGGTATGAGTTTGATAGCAAAATACATTTGGCTGCTTTTTTAGGTTGTTGGGTTTGATGCTTCCACCACAGTAGAGGAATTTCTGAACACTCTGAACCAAGATACAGGGATGAGGAAACCAGCTCAGTCAGGATTTGCACTGTTTTCTGATGATCCCTCTGGCAAGGACATAGAGCACTGTCTTCAAGGAAACATCAAGGTAAACAAAAGCCTTTAATGAGTTGTGCATATAGAAAAAACAAAGTACCTTCATTTGACAGAGCTCTCCTCAGACAATGTAAAGGAAAATATTTTTCAGGCTGAAAATTGTCTTTGTTTCTTAATGTGAAAGGAAAGATTTTTATTTTTTTTAAGATCACTTTTTCAGTTGCCAAAATTCATTCAGTGAACTCCAAGAGACACATATTATTCAGAGAAGTAAGAGCTGTTTTAAAAAACAAAAAGTAAGCTGTTACAGTTCTTTAAAACTAAAGAGCAATTAGAGTCAAAAGTGGATTTAGAGATTTCAGTTAACATTTCTGATATAGCTCCAGGAGATGACCATGTGAGGTCCAAGAAGTCATTGATACTGGGGTGAAGATCCTGGGAAATTAAAACAAGAAATGGTTCCTTCTCTAATACAGAATGGTTTTAGGGCTCAGTTTAAGAAATTTCCAATTTTTGGCTTGCCATTGTACTGAATTCTAAATGTTAGCTCCCTCTATTGCTAGAATTAAATTCTTAGCAGCAAAGAGTGACAAGACGCAATATAATCCGTGCTTTAGTAAAATACTAGATACTTTCCAAGTCTTTTAGCAACTAATGAACTACCCAGTACCTTTTTGCACCCTTTGGCCAATGTTCAGAGCTGCACTTTTGAGTTACAAGGTGTGGTACAACCTGGCCTTAGTGATAAACAAGTGGTGTCACCATGATCAGAAAAATTACCATATGGAAAGCAAAATTTATAAAAGATGTACTTATTTTCTAGGTAACTGTAACTTTAGAAACTACTCTTATTATTGCTTCCAGGAAGGCTCTTTTATGAAGGAGTAGTGACATGAAGCCCAGCTGGGCTCCTAGGATCTCTATTTCACCTTCTCCACATCTGCCCACTTACCCACCTACACAGTTGTTGTGAACCACTTCTGGTGCAATTTATAACAAACTTCATGCCAACTTTATAGCAGTTACTAGAAAGGACCTGAAAAACTTGGGCATGCAGCAGCAGGAGAAGGCAGAGACCAAAGGCATTTGATTAATTATATAACAACTCACTCTGTATTATTACACATTCATTGGCAGCTGCTAAATCAAGTATCTGGCCTTTCCATGTTATGGCTTGTTTCCAAAGGTAGTGCATGTGTTTCAGGATAAACAAAAACCAAAAATGTTAATTACTAAACACTTTGACTAAAAATGCAAGTAAAGCTGTACTTCAGTGAGTTTAAAATTCAAGTTGTGTATGTTTCTAATAGGTGATAGGTAGAGGACATTAAAATAAGTTTCTATTCAGAGGTGTTTTCAAATAGGAAGACATGGCAAATCAGTTTTGTATTGCTTTCCTTCTAGATCTGTGACATTATTTCAAAGTGGGAGCAAGCCTCCAAAGAACAACACCCTGGGAAATGTGAAGGCACAAGGACTGTCCGCCTTACTTACAAAAACAGGTTTGTTTAGCAAGTGTAATATCTCTGCCTTGTCCCAAGATTTGTTATTCAGTTTCTGCAGTTTCTTCATCTGAGAAACACTGGCTGACTTGAAGCTTGCAACAAAAATAATAAATGGGTGTAACTGGAGAATATTTTTTTTAATATAGTTACCTTTTTTTAGTTCTTAAGAGGTGAGCAGGGCTCCAAAAACCTCACTGAAGTCAGAAGACTGACATTAAATATTTACCCACTGGTTCAAATACAAGTGTTGCTCTGCTAATGTGTTTTGACACTGAAATAAACATGTCACATTCAGAGCAGATACTGCTAATCCTCAGGGCTAATGCATTTCCGTATCTTCTTTATTTAATAACGTTCTGTCTTTTCTATAGGCTTTATTTTTCAGTTCAAGTTCATGGGGAGACAGACAGAGAGAAGCTGCTGCTAGTGTATCAGACAAATGATCAAATAGTCAATGGACTTTTCCCTGTAAACAAAGAATTAGCAATGGAATTGACAGCCCTTTTAGCTCAGGTAATCTTTATGCACGAATAACTCACACAGCAGTTTTTCAGGAGAAAAAAAAAAAAAAATCAAGGATTGCTTGACACTCAGTTGACCTCCACCTTTTACATATGAGTGTTCAGGAAACAGACTGGGCTGGAATCTTTGAGTAAGGCAGTTCTGGACTGGAGTGGAAATGCTTTACAGCTGGCACCAGTGTGGCTAAAATGTGCTTTCCCTCTTACACAGCGAGGCCCACTGACATGAAATATAATCATGTACCATTTCTTCATTCACTGTTCCTTCCATTATTTCTGCATGTTAATTCTCCAAAGTAACGGCTCTTCAATGAAAGTCTAAGACTCCTTTACGAGACAGGGTCTTGATGTTTTATTTAAAAAAAAATAAAAGCTCAATTGAAGGGTTTTGAGAAAGTTATTTGATGATGTTATTCAATAAATGTAAACTGATTGGTGTCAGCTGGAGATTTAGCAATCTAAGAGCAGAAGTAATATCTTACAATTGGTGTTAGATATTTAACTTTTTTCCATGGTAGACAGAAAGTAAGAAAGATTTTAAAAACTTTTTCATCAGTGAACTGTATACATTATTTGACAAATTTGTTTTCTTTTATACTTGGTAAAACATATCAAAAGATAGTTCATAATACCCAGCTAGCAAATTACTCTGGAGTAAAAAAAATCTTTTCTTCATGGACTTCCCCTTAGGTAGAGATTGGAGATTTTGAACGGCCTTTCTCAACTCCAGCAGGGCAAGTCACTTCCCAGTCCAAGTCCAACCAAACACTAAAGCAAGTTTTGGAGAGATTCTACCCTAAGAGATACAAGCAAGGTTGTTCAGAGGAACAGTTAAGGTGAGATGGGTTTTTGATTCGTATTCTCTAAAGAACTGGCAGTGAAACAAGGAAGTTTGATATTGTCACTGGGAATAATGTACTACTGTTGGGCTATATTTGCCTATACCTGTGTTTGAAACTCATTTTCTCACTGACCTAAAGAACCCATTTCCTCTGCATGTTTCTAATCTAAACAAAGGACCATCATTAATAACACATGCCAGCAAAAGCTGTACCAGTTACTACACAGTGTTACAAAACCCAGGGATTTTGAAATTCTCATTTTTCTTATTCAGCAAATCTAAACTAGGTCTGTCTGTGCACAGACTAACGAGTTACATGAGGACATGATCTGTTTGTTATTCTAGGGTGCAGTCTCTGGCAGCCAGTCAAATTGGCAATGTGTAACTTAGTGGACTACTAGTAAAGTCTCACTTTATTTAAAATTAATAACCTGCAAGGCTTTTAAATCAACACCTACTGACATGAAAACAACAGGAACCGTGTAATAAATTATCCAAAGTCAGTGATACAGTGGTTTTGAAGTCCAGTAAACATCATAGAAGTGTTCTTCAATACAGAAAATGTTCAAGTTGAGAAAATTTAGAGCTATTATTATATGCACATAGTAACATTATTACATACTCAGAAGACAATGGGGCATTCAAATGCCCCAAGTTACACAAATAACTTCAAAGAACAAATTATGAAAGGTGTCCAATTAGATTTACTCATGGAGGAAAAGTGAGACACCTGTTGAACTGTTTAAGTAGTCCTACACTACCAATTGGCAGAGCTGGAGATATGTGGCATGGGAAGAATCACTCTGTGCCTGCCCTATTGCCTGAATTCTTTTTGCTTAGGATGCAGTTTGACTTCACAAACAGTAAGACCAAAGCTGCAAATGCTGGATCTCCCTTTACTATACATTAGCTCTCCCTTTTCTTGGGCTACATCTAATAACCTTATGGCTGCTGGGTAAGTCATCCCTCCAGGTCAGTGTCCTAGAAAGGTGTTCTGGGCTGGGGTCTTTTTGAAAATTAGTTTTTCCATAGTATTGAACCAACTCACCAAGGAACCACAAATTCACAAAAGGAGCCAGAAAAAAAGCCCCAGTGTGAACACACTATGCATCACAAGCAGCCTTTTGGGTAGCAGTGCCCAGACACACTAAAAAGGAGCAGTGCTAAGCCACAGGTAAAGATATGTGCTAAGCTGGATGGATTTTTGGAATGATGGCTGACATAGCTGTTGAGTACTGATAAAGGTACATTGATTCTCTGTAGAGACAGGTTAAAAGCTGTCCCAGACTTTCTGCCTTTATGCTGCGACTGCTACATCAATATTTAATCATAATGTTTCAGAAATTAGAAGATACTTCATAATTTTCGTGTGCATTAAAATAGTAAATGCCATTTTGAATTTATTTAATACTGTATCAGTGATAGTCCTTGCATTAACTGAAATTATCATTTTAAGACATGGATTCTTTTGTGGGCAAGCATTGAAATTCCCTTCAATAAATAAAATCCATCCTTCATTTCAACAGACAGCTTTGCCAGCGCCTGTCGACAAGATGGATGGCTCTCCGTGGGCACAGCGCCGCAGACTGCGTGCGCATTTATCTCACCGTGGCCAGGAAATGGCCCTTCTTTGGGGCTAAACTGTTTGCAGCAAAAGTGAGACATTTTAATGAGTTTGATTGGGACTTAAATATAAATACAATTTGCAAATATTAATACATTTTTGTTGAAAATAACTGTGTATACATGAGCAGGTTGAATCTCCTGTCAAATTACTTTTTAAGTCATACACTGGTAAAATACAATAGCCATAGTGTATCATAACAGTAACTTTCCAATACACTTACTGCTTCTTTTACATTATTGACCTGTATTTCCATTTCCTTATATCTTAGTTCGAGATAGCCTTTTAGGTTTAGACTCTTTTTACCTGATAACTAATACAACATTGAAAAGGTATCATTAACTGGCTGTGGAAGCTGAACCTTACAGAAGTAGTAAATGTGGTTAGGAGTATTTAGAGCACTCCCTTCTATGCTGGCCTCTCTCAATTTCTCTTAACCACAAGTATCTTAATTCTCTTGATTCAAATAACAGGTCTGTTAAAGAAAACTGCCACCTCATGTCTTCAGTTTTAATAGGTAAACTGTGTGTGTAAACATATATATATAAAATTGTTTGTCAGCACTCTGTTCTTTGTGTATTTAGATATATGGGCTAGTGGACAAATTGTAAAACACTATTTTATTTATGAAGCTATGTATTTTATTGGACTAAGCACCAGGGTAGGTTTCAAGTGTATTTGTTTGAGTTCATCGTTCTGCCACTGGCCACCTACATGGCTTTGGGCAGGTATTTCAATTCCTTTACTGAAATTTACACTGAGAGGGAACTGAAGTGAGAACTGTGGACGGAGAGAGGTCTATAACAGCTGAGAATTGATAATTATTCATATATTGCCCCATTTTGAAGTAGTAACTAAAGAACATTTCTCTTTGCAGCCTCTAGCAACAGCCTCAGTTGAGAAGTCCTTCATATGGTTTGCTGTCCATGAAGATGGCATAAGCATCCTGGATTACAGCTCCATGGTAAGTGAAATTGCTATTTTACATTTGGTCAAGATAGATTTTAGTACTCATTATATGGAGAGAGTCACCACCATGCTGTCTAGAAGATGGCATTAGCTTTCCACGTTAAGTTATCTAGTCCTTCACTTAAAGCAAAAATTCATTCCTTTTAAAATGCTTTAATGTTATCATCATTACAGTAGCACTAATAATAGAAGTAAGTAATGAATTCTTTGCACAGAATTTATTTTTGTTTATCAGATACAGTTTTTATATCATTTAATGAAATGTCAATGTTTTAATCATTCAGATGTCAGGAAATCCATAGTTACTGTAATGTTATTACAATAACATTAATTTTCTTTTCCTGGAGACTTAATTTTCCAGTATTATTCATAATACATACACTCTGCAAAGAGCAGTTACTTTAAAAGATTGTTATTTTCATTGTATTATTTTTGTTTAATAGTAGGGAATATAACCCAGTGTTATTTAATTATGTCATTTTAAGCTCTGATTTTTCTTTGATTTGCAATACAAGTTTGCACAGAAAACGACTCGTAATCAGTGTAAAAAGCAATGCCTGAGAAGATCCCTGCTTTCATTTATATCCTGCAAAGAAAAAGAATGGCATGCTGCTATTAGCAAGTGCTAATATTGAATATCAGAAAATTAAAATCTCAGCTTTATAATTGTGCTGATATGGGCCTTTTCATTACATTTCTTTGCAGTTAAAGAAATAATAAGACAAAGAGCATGAGGAGAGCAAACAGCAGCTCTCAGGGAACAAGCAAAATGTGCTTGTGTCTGACTGCAGAGAGCTCTACAAACCCTGCTCCTGGAGCTATGGCATTTCTGTAGGGCATTGCCAGGTTAGGTACTGGCAGACCTTACTGGACATTCAAGGAATGTTCAGCTTCCAGGGAACATTGGGATTTTCTGTAGGAAGGATCAGGAGTATCAGGAATGATGTTGCGAGAGGTAGAGATAATACTATTTCAAAACTGGGGCAAAAAGAGGTTTACTGAGGAAGGACACTAAGTCAGTTATTGTAAAAATGTTGTCTGACAATGAATTTTAAATGCAAACATCTGCAACAAATTAATATGAGGTGTAACAATAAATTAAATGCTGATCTTAACTCGAAGGCCACTACTGTGGTGTTAAACACTGAACAGTAAGAATTGAGGGATGAAAAGCTGAGGAGCCTTGAAGAGCATTTGTGTTTCATCAGAGATGTGAGAAAAAAGAGAACAGAATTTAATTTGTGTGTTTGCAAAACACATCACTGCACAAAAAGAATACCTGGAGTTAAATTCCTTCAGATGTCTCATACTCTGCCATTTAATTTATTTAGACACTGCTTAAATTTCAAATGGAATTAGTAAGATTAACTTCTCTCAAAGTCAGTCAAGATTTGAGTAAATGGAATTACACACTTGAGTTGAAATCTTCTTCAATCTTTTATCTAATTAATTTGGAATAGAAACAGAGGTCAAACTGAGAAGAGTTATCATCTACAATGGAAATTCCTCATCATGAAGGTCTAAATGAAGCTATCCCAAAATTCACAGTTAATTTCAAGATTCACAAGAGGCTACCTCCATTGAAAAATATACGTGTAATTATATTTTTAAAAGAAGAATTTGTTATAATCTGTTTTTTCCTGCATTGTCCTGCCTAATAGCTTTGTGTTTTGTTCTGGGGGTTTCCTTTTTTCAGCGACTGACAGTTACATACACATATAAGAGCCTGATGACTTTTGGAGGCTATCAAGATGATTTTATGCTGGTTGTTAACAATGCTCAGACAAAGGACAAATCAACTGAAAAACACCTTTTTGCCATGACAAAACCAAAGGTTGGTATATTACCTGAAATAGTTTCCCACCATCTGCTTTTGTGCTCTCTCTAGTGGGTAATCCCTTACAGATGTGAAAGATAAAACACCTTTTTTAATCCCAGCCTGCTCAGATTACTGATTTTTGCCAGATGATTTTAGAGAGCAAATAATTAGTAACGTTAGGGCTAACTGTGACACTAATGATGTGTTTCTGTTCTTTTCATGTCCCTGTCCATACCATTCCAAATTTTTCATAGAAGGACAAATAAGGCTGATAAGGACAGAAATAACATGCAGTACCTAAAACCTAGTCTGTTTGCCTAATCGGCATCAGAGATAATTTTTCACAAAGTACATTTAGGATGTAGAGTGAAATTGTAGAACACATCTGAAAGATCAGTCACTTTTTAAAAATCCTAGGATATTATTCCTTTTGGTAAAAAAAAAGTCCAGCTTTTTAAATCTAGAGTCTCCCCTTCACGGTAAGACTGACTATATTTAAAAGAAAAAAACAAAACAAAACAAAACAGAAAAAAACCCATAAAGGTTTTGCTGTTAGTTTGAACAAATTTATTAAATAATACAGAATTCCACATATAAATTTGGTTCAACACATGATTCTTCATACAAATAAGCATAGTAAAATACACATATTGAAGTTTCCCTCAGATTGTGCCCTTATAGAATCACAGAATGGTTTGGGTGGGAAAGGACCTTAAAATCACCTAGCTCTCACCCCCCTGCCGTGGGCACGAATACCTTACACTGGACCAGGTTCCTCAGAGCCCCATCCAAGCTGACCTTGAACACTTCGAGGAGTGGGGCATTCACAGCTTCTCTGGGCAAGCTGTTCCATGTCTCAGCAAGGTTCATATGGGTCACAAAGAGAAAATACAATAAAAACCTCCCTGAAGTCTTTATTCCCTTCATCTACCCTGCATCTTGAGTTGTCTGAGCACTAGATACTTTCTGGCAAAACTTCTCGAGCATCATCTTTTGGACTTCAACATCTCTTTCAAAATTAAAGTCATCTCCAAATTATTTAAAACTCTGGAAGACAAAGTATCTTTGATACATCCTGATGGGAATAACATTACATTATTTGCAAGGAGCAGTAAAAAAAGCTTTATTAGTTATCTCCTCTCCCCCCATCATTAATTTGTTAAAGTACAAGTACTTATCCAGTTGATGGTGATTGTCACTTGCTAAAAAGTTAGCTATTTTTTCAGCAGTCAAAACACATCACTGTATTTTTCAAAGAGTTTTGTATGTTCCTGTTATAGATTCTTGAGATCACTCTACTGATTGCCAGCTACATTAACAACTTCCATCAGCTAAAAGGAGCTGCTCATCATCTCTCTGCTCCAGCATTACTGGCACCTCAAAGTGGACAGAAACTCAAGGAAATGGGGAGCCAGCCACTTCTTGCAATCAACAGACCAACTAAATGTCCCACTTTGTTATGAAAGGATTGTGTATCATGATAACGCATCCTCGTTAGAAGGTTTCTACATGGACTGAAAACCTTCTGATGTACAAGATGTAGAGCATAAGCAGTTCTATAAACAAAAGGAAGGTGGACAGGTTTACATTCATTCAGCCAGCCCTTTAATTAAAGCTCTGGCCTGAATTGGAAGGATGATGAGTCAGTTTAAGGGTTGTGATTTACTGGGGGTTGCTTGTGCCTACAGCTCAGAAAAAAATACATCTGTTTATAATGACAGAGAAAGGTGTCATTGGAAACAACTGTATAGATTTTATTGTTTTACAGATATATACTCAGGGACCAAACTGTCTTCAACTCTTCATCTCTATTTTTCAAAATTAGACCAGTTGTATAACTTTTCATTTTGAAAATGAATTTTTGTTTAGAAAAGCAGTCAAATACAAAATACTTTCCACTTCCAGCACCATCCTTATTTGCAATACAAGTATCATGGGACTAAAAGGAACAAATTGTGTATAATTGTTTCTCCTTTGAAAAAAACCAAACACATAAGCACATCATGTAACTATTACAAATTTAAAGAGTGTTCTCATGATACACTCTAGCCTTTGTTATACAGCTGTTTTACTTGGCAAATCTTCAGCCTTGGTCTGGTAAATTTCTACATAAACCTTCTCTGCTCCAGCCTTTTGAAAATAATCTAAATTGGATAGGTACTGCATTTAGTACAGTTTTGTTAAACAACACCCTGTACCTAATTTCTCCTTTAATCCAGAATAATAATATAATACGGATGGCAAGAATGACTCACAATTCAGAACACAAGAACAACACAGAAAACAATTGACTGAGATGTTGTAAGTAAACTTGGAGACCTAAAATCCGTGTACAATATGTGCAATGTATATAAATTGAGTCAGAATAATATTTACTTCCTGTTTTTAATTTGTATCTATACATTTCATATTATAGTACTAATATAATGTTCTTGCACACTGAATACATGATGCTGCGTCTGCACTACTGGACCTAGGAGCACTTTCCAGTTGCCTTTTTCAGGTGCAAGCCCCAGTGCTACATAGGTCAAATGTATAAAAATTACATCCATTGTTTTTCTTCCAGTCCTCTCTTTTTTGTTCCAGTGCAAATAAACCACTTCTGCAGGCTCATTTCTGAAATGGATCAGCACCATACTCTTAATAGATAATTTAGGTACAACCATGAAGAAGGTACTGAAACAAATCACTGATTCATAGACATTTTACAGTTTCCACTTTAGCTCATGTTAATGATAACGGATCGTTAATCCCTTACAGCCAATCCTCATTGGCTTTTGTTTGATTACTATTTAAAACCGAAGTAATTTCACAATGAAAAATCTCTGGGTTATGTTCTTTCAAATGCTCATACTGAGAGAAAAAGTATTTTCAGCCTTTTGCCCCCTATTAAAAGTAGGGAGTATCCTCCTAAAGAATTAAAATAGATTGGAAGGGAGATACAGGCCATGAAGAGAACATGGTCTTAGAAAGGGGAAAGGCAGACAGGCAAGCTGGCTTTCTTTAGAAAGCTCTCAACATCCTGCCACAGCTGCTTAAGCACCACTTGATGAGTGGTACCAAGGGCCAATGCTTCCTCTTGAAAATTACAACCAAACAACACATGTACTATATCCAGATGCTTTCAGTTTTATAAGGTGGAAAGAGCTTCCTGGTAACTTCCACCGTTTGGTGGTGGTTGGGGCTCTGGACCCTTCTCTTTCCGTGAGGCAGGGCCAGCAGCAGGAGGTTTTACCTCCTCCTACGCAGCCAGTCCCCTGCCATCATCCAGGGAAGCATCTTGGCAGCTACAAGAGACCAACAACATTACTTCTTGTGTTGCACCCCATGGGAAGTGATACAGATCCCATGGTGAAATTAATTTAGGAATTAATACCCCTTTGCAATCAGCAGAATAATTAACTTTCAGATTTGAGGGGGGAAGGGTATTTTCAAAAGCAAACATGTTACTGCATCAGTTAGGTCACAGTATAAAGCTTCTCAAATATGATTAAAAACTTCAATTTACAAACCAAAAGTCTTCTTGTAATCATTAAATTATGATAACCTGGAATACTCCAACTTGTACTCTTTCCTAATTGTCCGGTTTCAAATGAATGTAGAAGATCACCTTTTGTTATTAGAAGGCAAAAACGTGGAGCGTTTTGCTAATGAGCTTGTTCATATAGTTTTTAAGATCTTAGTTGAATTTTGAGACAACGTGATAATACAAACTAGCTGATGTGCACATTTGGAGATTTCATTAACAACATTACAAACAGTTGTTTTATAAAGACCTGTGCAGTCTATGAAGCAGAGTATGACCTTCCTGCCTGCCTTTGGGTAGGGAACTCTAGACACTGCTTTGCTCTTTTTTGTAGAGCTCTTGCTGCTGCAGTATGTCCCTACACCATTGTAATCGGAAGCAATTCATACATTAGTTCCCCTTTTTCGGCATGACTTTCCAGACTTTCTAACTCGTTATAGGTCACCATTAATCTCACACAGTCACAAGACCAGAAATGCTGTGTTATTTTATGAAATAAATGCACTCACAGTTACCGTGACAACACTGTTAAACAATGGAGCTGCTTCCAGTGTGATTAGCAAGAGTGAGTGAGGTTTCTGTAGTGACAGTGGCCTCAGCAGACACCTCCCTTCAAGGTAACAGGGCCAGCAAGTGGAGTCTCTTTCACATGCAAGCGCACTTCCAAACACAGCTCTGCATATCTCAGGGCCTTGCTCCACGGTAATCAAGCTGCAGAGCTACTTAAAGAATACCACACAATGCAAGACAGCAAGGCTGAAAATTTCACAGTCAAGCAGATAATCTGTTCTGCCTTCCCCACCTGCCCAAGCCTCACAAGTGATCCACATCTCAGTCTTAACCTTAAGTCATCCCTCACAGAAATTCAAACTATGCTGCCTAATCCACGACTAAAGCCCAGGTAGGAACCTGACCTTTCTCATCTCAGCAGTGAAGACACAGTGGGAGCTGTCAAATGAGCAGCAGCTTCTGGGACTGTTGCTGGAAAACTTCCCATGCTCAAAGCTTGCAGAACCTGGGTTGAAAATATATTGGCAGGATGGGATTAATATGTTAGCACGTGCAAGGAGACTTCACCCTCTACCATCAGCTTCAGAATACTTTTCATGCTTGCTCTGAGTTAATGGTCAGAATCAACAATCCATGTAAATGATCAATGAATCTGAGCTTGACAATGCCTGAAAAATCACTGGTAAATGTCTGTATAAACAATCACATTGTTTTGAGAAGACTATTTGGAATGCAATGTAAATTAATATATTACTTGAACTTCACGTTGCCTTGTCATTTTTTGAGCAGCAGTATTAGCAAGAGAACAGCTGATTTCTAGAACAAGCAAGACCCATTTATTCCTCTAGCATGCCAGGCAAAGGATAAAGCTTTAAGGTTTTAATACAATCCATAAAATTAATGAGTTTTGTTATTTTATATTTAAATTTTGTTTAAATTTGAAATAAAAGCATATATTTCCCTATGAAAGAAGGCTGGTAGGTATTTGGTTTTGGAGTTCCTTGTTAGAATACCAGTTCTCATAGGTTTTAATGGTTCTTGAAGGAAGAAAATCATTCTTGCATAAAGGAATGAACCACTTAAAGCTTTAGGTAGAGCTTTAATAGTCCATACAGCTTAGTGCAATCCATTAGTTTGGGTTAATTTTAACTAAGATGATAAGTAACTCAGTAATAATGAATTAGGGGGAAAAAAGTTTTATGTGTGTGTTGTTTCAGAGGTTTTTTTACAGTTTATTAGGGCAAAAGAAACTGAGAAAGCTGAAACATAAAATACTGAAAACTCCAATTTAAATTCCAAATTAGGTTTCAATACATTTACTACCTTTTACTGTGCTCAGATCTGTACTGCAGCCTCTTGCAGATTTGCCACCTCTGGCAATGAGTAAATCACTGCAGAAATACTTTATACTCTTGTTGTTGCAGTAATACCTGCATAGGTCATAGTGCCAGCAGCAATGCCTAGCATAGTTTTGTTCTCTTTGGCAGAGCAAGAACAGCTTTGTCCAGGGATTTTACTACCTCTAGATGCTGATTACAGATCAGCACTGGCTTCATGTATATACCAAGATATCAGAACTATTCTGTTGAACTGAAATTGATTAAAAAAACGCACTTAGACCGACATCAGCATGATCTGCACTGTACAGCACTACACAATTAAGTTTCTTTCTGGATTTTAATTAGCAAGACTATGGTTTCCATAAGAGGTTAGCAAATTCCTGATAATATGCATGTAAAAACCTGGAAATAATTAAAAATAGACCAAAATAGCCATATAAAGACTTCTGTGACTGAAGCTGAGTGATTATGAAAGCTAAATTTAGAAAAAAAAATCTTACTACAGATTTAACATTAATTAGAGGCAGTAGAAAGATACATCAGCCTTCTTTGGGTAAGGAAGAAGGAACAGTTAAAATGAAATCTGAGTTAATCATTATGAATGAGGCTGCTTTCCTGGTTGTGAACAAACACATAACTGAATTATTTTAGTCAGGTTTTTCTGTCTCCACTCTCTCAAGATACAAAACAGCTCCTCAGCTACAGAAGAGAGCTGCAATTGCTGTCCTGGATTTTGGGTCACTTTCTGATGTAGGACACTTTAGACTTGTCGGGTTCACCTACATCCTATGCCCCCCTTTCATACTCAGGGTCATCCTGATGTTTTACTGCAACCTTTAAATCCTACTTTCTAATCCAAGCCCAGCATTTTTGGACTTGATTGTTTATCATCTTATTTGAAATAATCCAACCCCCGTTTGTTACTATGTCTTACTTGTATGCCTCTTGTAACTACGAAATCACAGGATCCCAGAACGGGGCAGGTTGGAAGGCACCACAGTGGGTCACCTGGTCCAACCTCCCTGCTCAAGCAGGGTCATCCCAGAGCACAGGGCACAGGATTGTGTCCAGATGGTTCCTGAATACCTCCGGTGAGGGAGACTCCACAGCCCTTCTTGGACATCATGCTCCATTGTTTGGTTACTGCACAGTAAAGAAGCTCTTCCTCATGTTCAGGTGGAACTTCCTGAGCATCAGTTTGTGCCCATGGCCTCATGTCCCATTTCCTGGCACCACCGAGCAGAGCCTGGCTCCATCCCCTGACACCTCCCCTCGGTCACTGACGGACTTTGGGGAGGTTCCCTCTCGGTCGCGTCTCCTCGAGCCTCAACAGCCCCAGCTCCCTCAGCCTTCCCTCCTAAGAAAGATGCTCCAGTCGCTCACTCACCATCGCTGCCCTCCGCTGGACAATAAAATAATTACACAACAATTTTTGTAAAATAACTACACTTACTGTGTGTTACACAGCAGTTCCCAGGGAGTTGGAACTACTCGGGCCTCGTTTCATCCCCCCGCTGATATCAAAGCTCACTGAGGGACCATGAGTTTACCAGGAGCCAGTGCTTAAGGCCGAGGTCAAATAAGACTCCCGGTGGTGTTGTTTACTTATCCCTGGCTTCCTCCACAGCCGGAGCATTTTGTCCCTTCACAAGAGGACAAGAGTCGAGATCTCCTGAGCGCCCTCACAGTCGCACTGGTACCAAGGCGTGAGAACCCTGAAAACCGAGCCACGAACAGGAGAGCGGGCGGGACCCTCGGGGGAGCCGCCACACGGCCCCTCCCTCTGTGGGCGGCCGCGGGCCGGGCTGGGCTGGGCTGGGCTGGGCTGGCCGGCCCTCCCTCCCCCCGCGGAACTACAGCTCCCGGCGTGCCCCGCGCCGTTCCCATGGCCACAGGCAGCCGGGCTGGCGTCCCGCGCGGCGATGCCCAAGGCCAGGTACCGGGAGCCCCGGCCGGGCTGGAGACGGGGGATGGCTCCCACTGCCCTGGGGAAGGGGCTGGCGGCCGGGGAGGACAGCTTGGAAGAGGGTGGGAGGGAGGGAAGGAGGGCTTAAAACAGGCCGTTCCGGCCTCTAACCCTAAAGCGAGCGGGGCCGAGGGCAGTGGGGCAGGCTTGGCCCTTGTCCGGTTCCTTCTGTAAGGAACCCCACATAAACGGGGTCTGCGGGTGACCGCGGGTGAACTGGAGCACGGGGAGCCCCCGCTGCCCGAGCAGCAGCTTCCTGGCACACCGAGAGTAGGTTTGGAGCTCTCCTGAACCTTTCAGCCGTGTCCGGCTCCTCCGCTAAGCCCGACACGCCACACGACCTTTTAAAGGTATCCCAGTACCGCAGTGGGCTGCCCGGGAAAGCGCTGGAGTGAGGTGTTTCAAGGAAAGCCTGGACGTGGCACTCGGTCTGGTGGCGTTCGGTCACAGGTTGGACTAGGTGATCTCCGGGGTCTTTTCCAACCTAATTGATTGTGTGATTCTGTGATTAAGTGTACTCCAAGCAAAGCCTCTCGCTGCACAGCTGGTACGTGCTCAGTATGTGCCCCAGGTGGCTGATGGGGTAATTAAGGAATGTCACTTCAGCTGGTTTGGTTAGAAATACTTCGACAAACAGGGAGCAGGTGATGTGAAATAATAATAATAATCTACACCACAATAACTTTCATTTAGATGTTTTCAGGAATTAGGGCCTTAGGTGTGTGTTTTCTCTAATTATTCTCTTCTTCCTTTGTTTTCTTCCAACTAGTGATACTTTATGGGATCTTGCTATAGCTGAAGTGGAGAAGAGAGAAAATCCTGAAGATGATGGTGTCAAGTCAGGGGAAGTTTGGGAAAAATCAATATTATTTATGGGAAACAAAAACGGGGTAATCTAAATACAAGTCTATGCTTTTCAAACATAATTTCTGTCAGGGAAAACATCTTGTATTTTAAGATGTTGAGGTTCACTTAATTTTAAAGACATAATATCTTGTGGTCTCATTCTACAGAGGTCTAATTGATCACTAGTATCTGTTTTAAGTACAGTGTTCCTATTACTATATTTGTCATGTCTATTAGTTTATATTTTTAATACTGGTAGTGTAACTTGATTCTGATTGAAAGTAGACTTAATTTCCATTCTAAGGCTGCATACAGTTACATGCATTTGCAGTTTTCTGGAGCTTTATTATTGGAATGTTAAATGAATTTGACTTAGTGGTACAACTTTATGCTTTAAAAACAGTACAATAGAGTTCCTCTTTGTTTTTAATTTCCAGGGAAAGACCACTATCATACTGAGATGCCTTGAGAGGTATGTGTTAAATATTTTAAAGCACTTTGCAGCTGTAGATTAAAAAAAAGGCCTATTGTGTGATAATTCATAATACATGTATGCAGATGTGTTCTGTGACTGGTTGATGACTTATTTCATTTATAGGAATGAGCTTATTTCTCTTCATTATAACCTCTCAGGTGACCCTTTCAGTCCTTTTCCAGTGTTAGCTGGAATTACTCATTTCTATGGGCTGGTGCTGCTGCTTCTCCTGTCTTCAGTACTTGACACCTCCTGTCTACAAGTGTCCTCTCTGTACTGCTGTCTCTAAGCCAAATTCTGAACTGACTGATAAATACAATTTAGTAACGGTAGAATTAACGTCCTTTCTTTAGAGGATCTTGACAGAATTCATTACTTTTCCTCTAGGGAAGAGTCTCCAAAGCCGACATTAGCCTTGGAATATACTTTTGGAAGAAGGGCAAGGCGACCCAATACAGTGAGTATAAAGTGTAATTTACCATATCTTTATATATACGCACACACACACCTAAAAATAACATAAAGAAACTCTTTTGCAGCCTAAAGATGTAGCTCATTTTTGGGAACTAGGTGGTGGAACTTCATTAGCAGAACTCATTCGAATACCAATCACTAGCCACAACATAAGGTAAGTGTAAATATTACAATTCCAGAGTTAATTTGAGCTTTCCTTCAAACATTAGTAACCTCTAGACCTTTTTTCTTTTGTGGAAACCTCTCTCAAAGTGTAAGATAGAACATTTAGGGATTTTGCTAAGAATCACTGTAATACCATGATGTTTAGCTTTGATTTTCTTTTTCATGCTTCTCTCCTAAATAATCAAGTTGTAAGTAATCTCAACAAAACATGGAGGAAGCAGGTTAGACTTAAGTAGATAGAACAAGAAAGGCAGAAAAAGAGAAGACAAAATATCTTCATGCTCAGTGAAGAGCGAAAAAACAGACTTGGGGGACATATGAAAAATTAAATCTTGCTTCCTACTTCTGTGCACACATAGGTGCTCTTTCTGTGACAGATATTTTAGGGTGAAAAACAAGGCCAAAAATTGTGACAAAAAAAATCTCTGGATTTTTGGGAAATGACCTTTTAATGAGAAAGTCATTTCCCAACAGAGAGATGACATTTCCTGGAGGGACTAGAGCTACTGAAATTATTTGAAAACAAAAGGAAACAAGAATTTTGATCAAATTAAGAAAATGTAGTGAGAAAAATCCATTAAAGTCATGGATAGCATAAGAAGAAGAAATGCATGAAAAGTTGCATGAAGAAATAACAAGGTGATAGGAGGTACTTTTTATGGTTTGTTGTTAGTTAAGAAGATGGGAGTTGAAAGGGGAGAGAAGGATCAAAAGATGAGTTTTATATTATGATATTGCTTTATTTAATTGGTATTGAGCTTTAACTTCTGTGGGGAAGAAAAAGGAGGGATGTAATTTTTATCAGGTACATTTGCTCCTGTTTTGACTACTGGAATAATGTCATTATTTGCTGAGAGACTAAGAGGGAATAAAAATAAAACACTTACCGCATATGAAGCTCCTTGTCTCTAGAAGAGCTTGTGAGAGAAAAAATTAAGTATAATTTTTCAGCCCCTGACTAAATGTAATTAATTGAGCTCTACCTCCATCAGTCTTTTCTTCCTTTTTTACTAATAAGGGATTTTCTGATGTGGAGAATCTTAAGTTTCTTTGCTGGGATAGCAAATTGTTCTGTAAGAACAATTTACTTCTGTTTACAAGGCAATATTTTAACATGCCAGTAAAAATTCTACTATTTCAACAAATATAAGTGCATTTTGCTGGTTTTCTCATCACTGTAGTCAAGCAATTTGCTTATTTAAAAGTTCCATAAACTATATCTAATTTCATCAAGAGACTTTTCACCAGATTTTTCTTTCTCACAGCATTTTAAAATGGAATTGAATACTCAGTTTGTTTCATCACTTTTGTAATACCACTCTGGTCTGGGATGCCCTTTTTCAAGTCAGGCTGGAACTGGATAGAATGATGGCATCCATTCAGATTACTGCATTTGCAATGATCTTTACAGTTGCACTTAAATGCAGCTGGTGTCTTGGGAGGCAGGGTTTTAGAAACAGGACTTCAGATGTCAAACATGTCTCATCAACAATCCACCTTTAAAAGTCTGGTAGTCGCTAAGGATGTCATGAGTACTCTTATCTTTCAAAAGACTTTTCATGCACCCATTCAAGGTTCCAACAAACTGTCACAGTTCATGACATGGAATATTGTCCTTAACCAGGGTTTCTTCTTTCATATTAGAAAAGAATAATGGAAGTAGGGAACTTCCCCAGGTATACAGGGAATACAGGTAATAGTTAGGAAAGATCCTAGCTGTTGGCTAACATTGCTTGGTCTGGGGTTGTAGTCTTATGATGTGGCAGGGATACATAAAAGCAGAAATCCTCAGTCATACAGGAAGGAGCTACAGGGCTGAGCATATTTGCGTATTTTACTGTTTGAAGACAGTCCCAAAAACAATACCTGATTGAAAGTTGCCAAAATAATAGTTCTGAACAAGAGACGAGGGAAAGGTTTCTTCAGAGTGCAGAAAATCCCTAAAAGCCGTCTTGCTTTGCTGTCACATTTAATTCTGTCTTAGCAATTAGATGTTCACCTTTGCACTACAGGCGTGATTTTGTATGAAAACGCTGAATGCCTCATGCACTAAATATGTGACCAAATAATGCCTATTTAATAGGTCATTTGCTGTAGTTCTGGTATTGGATCTCTCCAAACCGAATGAACTCTGGAATACTATGGAGAGCCTTCTGCAGGTCACCAGGAACCACGTGAACAGAATTTTAACCAAACTAGAAAAGACAAACGCTGAAGTAGCTGCCGAAATTAAACAGAGAATGTGGAACGAACTGCAGAGGGATCACCCTGTAAGTTACTTCTAATATTTTCTCCAGATGTCACAGGCCTTTATACAGTTAAAGATAATGCTTTTGAAAATCATAAACAACTCTTTTAGATTTTTATGCATGACTGAAAATCCATTTGATGCAGATGAACCTGTTCACTGGAAAATTATAGCAATTTAATAAAAATTCAATAAGAGCAGAAACAAGGAAAGAAGGTTTCTTATATCTTTTTGTTAGATATCTAATGTGATTGTTATGGCATGTTACACCAATCAAAAGAAATAGTTTTAGAGTAGCAGTTTGCTTTTTTTCCCCCTCATCTTTTTAAAATGAAGATGAAAACTAGAATGTACAAAAGTCATCTAGCAAGAGACTAGCTGAAGGTACAAATTTAAGCAAAGAATATAGTTATAACAGCCATCAACATGACTATATACTTTGCATTTATTTAAATGTCTATCACAAACTCAATGCCTTTTGATAATCTGACAACTAATTAAATTATAAAGTTTCAGAAATGTTAACATCAGTCCTTTAAACATAATTGCTAACTAAATCTCTGGAAAAGCTAAACTAGATTATGCGCAATAGAAATGAAAAGTCATCGTGCATTAAACCTCTGCAAATGTTGTGTGTATATAATGCATAAATAAGTATTCAACAATTCAAAGACATGGCATGTAAATCTAGTTACTGTAACTTCTGTAAAATGCTTCAATACAGCAAGTGCTTGTAGAGCTCAGAAATTTAAAAGTAACTCAAAATATATGAGAAAGCAACACATGCAGCACTCCGGAGATTTAGCATATGGGGATTGTTTTGGTTTTTGCTTCTAGAGAAGATAATTCACAAAAAGGTAACACCTACATGCACACCTGGCAGTAAATTATGACCACAGTGTCTAGTTTCATATAGAGGTTTATATATCAGAAAATTGCAAGCTTATTGCAATAAGAAAAAATAATAATGCTATTAATTGTTAAGAAAGCTTGTTATTCTTGCACTGGAGGAAACACAATTATACCTTCTGAACTAAAATTTCTGTTTAGCTTCCATTATCAAAGACATCAATAATGCAAATAAAATATTATATTACTGCTTGGTTCTTGTCTTACTTTCATCACTGTTCAAAGAAAAATTGTGTCAATTTATTAGAAGACAATACTATCTTTTATAGTCAAATTTAATGACAGTTTATGGAGATCATTATGTGCCTTTCAATGGCTAAACATATTTTTATCATAAACAGGAATCAATGAAATCCTTATATTTTTTAGGATTAAGATCTATTTCATCAGGCTGGCTAAAGAATTATTTGCTATGATGCTAAAACATATCAATTGCAGAAATTGCAGACCTTGTTTAAAAAGGCTGGATGCATCTAAAGTACTCCATAGTCAAAAATAAATTCCGCAGTCAAAACATGAATAGGGTTCAATATGCTAGTTTTAAGGTTTCTGATGTTATCCCAAATTTTGCTCTTAGTTATGAAAACCATTTTTTTCAGTTTTATATTCTATATACTCATTTTTAAGTTGCAATAGATTTGCGCAAAGCTTTTGCTTTGACAGTGCATGAGTGAAGCCATTATATCTCCTCTCCAGGTAGAGGATTTTCAATATGTGCAGCTTCTATCAACTTTCTGTCATTTAACCTGCCTGTGAAATACCTGGGGTTAGGAGGGAACAGATGGACCAACTTCTGATATAACACATCTTTCTTGCACTGCTGCAGCCAAAGCAGCTTGAATAAATAATTGCTTGAACATACGAGGGGATTCTCTCATTTCATATGGACTACAGCAAACCCTTCCAGATCACTTGAGAATTCTTGTAATTCACATATTAAAATTTTTATCCTATGTTACCTATTTAGCACTTAAGTCTGCACTCTCAGACCGGTTTTCCTCCGTTGATACTGATTCATGTTTTCAAGATTGTTGGAGGATGTTTCCTCTTTGTGCTAATATCAAACATTTGAAATTCACACTAAATATTTGTTTGGAAAATATGATGTGGGGAGGACAAATTCGTGACACAAGCAAATCATTCCACTTATTTTTCTTCAGTTTTTGTTTGTATTGTTTTAGATTTTATCCAAGGAAGGTGAATGTGTCAAAAAGCCAGTTGCAGTAATCCAGCCTGGCAGATGTTCTGTGAATGCATGAGGTTTTTGCTCTCTTCCTTTCCTATCTAATACTGTAATATATAGTGTAAAAGCCCTTTTATGCTAGGAACTGTTCTGACTGCTCAGAGGGATTATTTCCTGACCGTTTAGGAAGAAAATGGTAGAATATAATATGGATATTGCAATGAAGTTGATTCCTCTACCTCAACGTTTGGAAAACCTTGTCTTCTATGAATTAATTTTATCCTCTTTCAGTTGCTTTAACAGTTGTAATCTTCTATAGTTTGTTTACAGAGCTTCACTGTCCTATATCTTTTTAACAGGACTGTGCCTTAGTTGACCCTTTTCCAATACCCTTGGTGATAATTGGAAGCAAATATGATATTTTTAATGTAAGTAATACTTAAGTACATTTTTAATAATTAAATTATTCTCAGTAAATATTCTATATACTAAAATTTCACTAATATAATAGTAATCTTTTGCACTAAAGCATGGACAGCCAATCTTCTACCACAAAAAAAATCTTTCCATTCAATGCATTAAGCAAGGTCTACTGTCATTCCTTCACAAAACACTCCCAAACTGATGATTTTTGAGATGTACTTAGAAAATGTTGAGACACAAGTTGCTGCAGACCAAAAAGGGAAACAAAAAACACCATGTGGATGATTTCCTTTTATAATGAGAGAAATGCAGCTCCACATGTTCCTTGTGACAGCAGCTGTAAGTTTATGGCAGTGAAAGAGGGGTATATCTCAAGTCAGCTGATCAGATTTTTTTGGTAGTTGTGGCAGCTTGGTCTGAAACTTTTTGTAAAGTACTTCCTAAGTTTCTAGAGACAAGTGAGTACTTGCATGTTTATGGAGGGGAGGAAAGAAATGTCATAGTACTGCTGGATTCTCTTCCAGGACATAAAAACCCCAAACAAATGCACACTCACTGCACTTATCTTGAGGAACTAGGACAGTACGTTTGATTTTCAGCAGTCATGCTGGCAGCCTGTGCTTTCCTGGATGGCTACACAGTGCACTTGACTTGGCTGACTCTGAGTTACTGAATTCTTTATTAATAATGGACTTGCCTTCTCTCATACTGAAGCTTTATGCTAAGCCACGACCCCCTTAAATGACTCTCATGTAGTAAGGACAAAATGCCAGCCTGATTCCTTTGGGGATCTATGGATTGACTCCTGTAGGCATCACTGGGACCAAGTTTTCATCCATTTTATCCAGGGAAGGCCACCTGTATGATCTTAGATTAAACAGACATGAATGGAAAGGTATTTTTATACACCTTTCCAGTCTTGCAGGTATTAGAATTTAGACAGCATATACCCAAAGATTTACTTAAATATTTTCACAAAAAAAAAAAGTCCTTATTCTTCCAGTAGGCAGCATTTCTACTGGTAAAAATTTAAAACAGGATCAAACAAATACATTGAAAATTAAATGTGCATTCTCAATTAAAAAACTTTTCCTGGACTAACATATTGCCTGAATTAGGCTCCATCTGTAAAAAAGAAACAAAGAGAAATTGTGACATTTCTTTTCAGAGTAGGCTGTTACTGATTCTGTCTTAAGATATAATTATGCTGACAGCTGAAAGCCTTATATATTGTAGCATTGCAGTTTATATAAAAAAATAAAAGTTCTAACTGTAGTATTTTGGGTTTTGTTTCTTACATCTATGTTCCACTATCAACTTTTCCAGGAGTTTGACTCTGAAATGAGGAAAATAATAAGCAAGACACTTCGATTTGTTTCACATTATTATGGAGCATCATTAGTGGTATGTATATTCACTTCCTATTTAAGAATAGAGATGAACAATATTTCTGTTACAAAACAATATTTTTAAAAATACTACTGTAAAACTCCTAGAGAAAATGGGATTTCATTGGTTTTACAGTAGCTTTCTTCATGAGACTATCTGTTGAACAGATCACTGTACTGGCAGGAGATGGATGGACATGCCTTGTGAACAGACAAACTACACAGTTCCACAGTTCCCAGTATCAGCAAAAATGAAATTAAGATAGTTACCTGTTAGCCAGCTTAGTTCCTGCATTGAGTTTACTGCATCTTGGACAAGTTTTTTTGGTACCAAAAAGGAAAATGAGCAAAAGTGATTGCCTTAGATTGATTAGATTAGATTGAATTAGAGAACTGGCCGTTTTGGTAGAAGCATGAATTTACATGAAGTGACTTAGCTTTTGAGATTTAAAATCAAGGGATTGTTTTCACAGTAGTTCATGTATATACTATATACATATGCAGACTGCTACACTTAGGGTGTTGAACAAGGACAGGAGATTCCTTACAGAAGTGGGTAGAAAGATGCCAACATGAGGACAATGAAGTATTTATTTTAGCTTGTCAGACCAGCCTCTGAATAAAGACAGAAACATGTATGCAGAGATTCACAGTCCAAAAATGCTGCTTCTTGGGCTCACTGTGCATCAGAAGATGGGTCTAATTATATCAACCATCCTTTATGTAATAAATAATATCTAGTAATAGCTTAGTGATTTTCAAAACAACTTATGTTTACTTTGAATACTTACAATTCCAGCATGTCCTTTTGCATCCAAGTAAAGCTTTTTCACTCTGACACATGAATTTGTCTTTTGTTAACTGAGATTACAATTGTTTTGGTTGAGGTTTTTTTTTTAGTATTTAAGCATTATTGTAATAAAAAAATTAAAATTAGAATATAAAGCTCTTTGTCTGCTAAATCCTGATTGTCATTGAAATGAGAGGGAGAAACTTAATTTCCCACAGCAGGGATCTGACTTCTTTCTCAAAAACATGAATCTGTTAGGATACAAAAGCCCTTAGACACGAAGAAGCATGTTGTTTGAGAATGTATTCTGAGAACTGCTTTCTGATAAATCTCTAACATTCTGCCACTTTGAAGCTGTTTTTATGACAATTAAATAGTTATTCATTACATTTCTAAATGTTTATGATATTCTGGATAATTTTTAATGTAATTCAAAATCTTAACTCAGTCTCGGGCAAAAGATTTGTGTCTCATAATGTGCGTATTTCAAAAGTTTTGAATCAGTATTTTAAAAATTATTCTTTCATCTTTATTTATGCTGCTTTTGAATATTTCTTGATTTATATTTTAAATATTAAATATATTCATGCTTTTGAAAGGGAATGTGAAATTTTTATTCTTGTCAATTCAGTGAACATGTACCGAATTTATTAGGGTCAGGTATTAATTAGGAAAGCTCTATCCTCTTTGTAGGTGGCAAAATGCAATATATCTATGATGGAAGTTCATAATGTATATTTTTTCTGATTCATTTAGTTTACCAGTAAATCTGAAGCTCTCCTGCTAAAAGCCCGTGCTCTTATTAATCACTTGGCATTTGGCTACGATAAAAGGTAACATTATTGTTCAACTATTAAATGTCTTGCTCAGAGCCAAAAATTACTTAATATTTTAGTAATAAAAACTTATTTTTTCTTAAATATTATATCTGAAAGATTTTTGTTCATAGACTTGGACTCCTGTGACTCAGCTGCCTATCTGGGCTAAGGACAGTGATAAGTCTTTAGTTTTGATCCTCAAACTGATGAATGTAAAACGTGGTTACCACTGGAATTGAGTGCTATTTGATTTATATATATTTATTGCAAACCCCACTAAGTCTCTTGTCTTGGCTAGAATAATGTTGCTTTTTGTTGATTGCTAAATGCTCACTTCATACATTTTCTTTTTTTCTGTTCAGCAAGTCTGTATCAGTGGATCCCAGCAAACCTCTCTTTATACCAGCAGGCCTGGATTCCATGAGCCAAATAGGTTAGAACATTTCCTGTTCATTGTTTGTTGCTTAATTCTTTTGAAAACAAGAAAAACATTTTAAGCAAATAGATAAATTACAGCACATCAGTATCAATTTTAACAGATTATTGAAGAAAATAGCTTATAGATTTTAAAATTATGATCCAGTATATTACTGAGAATTATTTGTGCAGGTAGTTTAATAAAGTCTCTGGACTATGTAAAATAGTAAAGAACCAATAAGCTTAGATCTGAAAGAAAATAAAATATACACAACCTCTCAGCCCATTTCATGGAAGGCGATCAATGTTTTTGTCAAACTTGTTGCAGTTTGTCAGTGTAGAAGGTAAAATACTAAATTAGATGGATCATTATGCATAATTACTCTGTGATTTATGTTGTTATGACAACACACTTGTCTTATGTGTGCTGTGATCCTCAGGACCGCCACCCGCCTCTGACAGTGATCTTGGAAAGATCACTGCCAACACGCCTTTGGAACTGTGGAAGAAAGTATTTGAGAAAACATTTCCTCCCAAGGTAGGGATGTATATGCCATGCACACAGCTGCTTTTCTCAGAATAGCAGCAATATCCTTGCTCCTCTTTGTCTTTCAGGTCCACTGACCAGAATTTCAGTCTCACTTAGCAGTTAGTTTCAATACATTTTTAAAAGATAAAGACTTGTATGTAGTAGTGCTTCTACATTTTCAGTCACCTTCTACATTTAGAAATTATGAAAGATGCTGTTCTCAGTATAAAATGCTCCAATATGATAAAGACTAAACTTCTCAGAAACTATACAGAAGTGTTATTTTTCATGTTAGTTTTCCTCATAGCCTTTAAAAATACTATAAATAAATGCTTCCTCCTGTACCCACCCCCTCCAAGAACCCTCTGAACTCCCCCTGAAACAGCTGGAGAAAACACTTCTCATCTTGCAAGCTCCTTTGCTGGTCATCAGTATATCAGTCTAATTAAAGATTTAAACATTTGCCAAATAGATTCACAGTCTCCTGTTTTGGTTCCACAGCAGGCTTTAAACTTTGAAGCTATTTTTATGCATAGTAAACTTCTTTTTCCATTGCCTCACGTAAGAAGTAGAATTCTGCTTTATTTTATTCCATCACTGGTATTATTGCATTCTTGCTACTTTCCATTTGATACGATTAAACAGAAGTGTGCAGGACAATATTTAAAAAAAACCCTCCTCATTTGATAGCTTTTCTTACCATTAGTGTATTTGCTTCTTTGGAATTCAAGTTATAGTTCACTCAGGACTGGGAAATGAAAATTCAGATATTTGGCAAAGATAGCAATCAGTTTCTCAGCTATTGAAGTAATGCTTCTGATAACCAAAACTGAATTCTAGTCATGAGTATTAAATAGTTTAGCAAGGGCAACCTCAACTGTGCCCTAATGTCACGGACCAGAAAAAATATTTTCTTTTGATGCTCAAGGATAATAACCAGCCACCATATAAGAGCATTTTCTGCCCTTTAGAATCTAGCTGCATTACTACTTTTTCTTCATTTTACTGATAGAACAGCCTTTTCTTATTTTTTTTAACTAATTTGTGTCCTGTAGCACAAACTTGTTCTGTAAGTGCAAGTTTTTAATATATTTGTATTAAAAGCAAATACTTTCACTTCTGTAGTGTGGCTTTTTCTTATTAAAAGAAGATAAATTCTATCATTTGGGGTTCTGTCTTTTTTCCTTTTAGAGTTTCTGTGATTTACAAGATATCAAGGACCCTGCACAGGACAGTCAATATGCTGAGTATGAAGTTGATGTCATGAGAGCTCAGAAAAACCAGGTATGTGATAATTCTCCAAATGCTGTTCACAGTCAGGTGTTCCAGAACCACCAGCACTGCTGAACTAGTAGCATATACTCGTACCACACCTTTGAGTGTTGACTAACAAAGTGTAGGAAGCAATATCAAGGTCTGTGGTGGGGACTGTTTACTTCTCTTTTTCTCCTTCAAAACTTATTTAAACGGGAAAGATACTGAGATGATAACATTTCTAACTTGAATTTGAAGGCTACGGATACTTTATCTTAAACAGAGTGAATGGAATTGTTCCAGAGAGCGATGATAGGTGGCTTTACCCCTGAATTCCAGAAAAGACATTTAGTGGGAAAGGGTCTTCTATTTTTTCTTATGAATTTTGAAGTGTTTCTGCCTTTCCCGAGATTAGTGAGGAATTAATTTTATCAAAACATTCTGTGGCAAATTAGATGAAGGTTAAAGGCTTGCCTTAGAGCTGTCAGTATATAACATCAGCTGAGTAGCAGCACTGTATGTAACAGTTTTCATCAGTATCATAGATATGGGTCTGTTAAAATCAAACCAAGATTCATCCAAAGAATAAAGCAATTTCAAAAATCACCTGTAACCTTTGAACTTGCACATTACCTGCAATATCCTGTAAATGTAGATATCAGTTCTGAATTTCTATCACATCAAGAGCAATCTTAGAAATCATTAAAATTTGTAAAGCATGCTGCTTTTGGAATTTATAATAGAAACACAGTATAGCTACATATCTCAAAATAACTATATAGTGTACTAGGTTTGGTATTTTTACATAATAATGTGTTGCAAAAGAAGATACTGGTATGTATTGATTAAATCGTACAGGAAATTATTAATTTTCTGGTTTTAAACAAAAGAGACAGGCTTTTAAAATCTTAATCTGTTCAAGGGCATTGAAAACCATTATAGCTTCTTTTTGTTGAACTACTACAAGTAATTTGAGCATTAAAGAGAAAAGTACTTTTGTTATCTGCAGTTATTTCCTAAGTTTCTATCACGAAGTTAAATTTTTACAAGATTATTTGCACATTATTAAAATGTTTTATACCAGGAATTTGAAATGCATCAAGCTAGAAATATACATCTAAAAGAAAAGAACTCTGTAGTTGCTTGTTTCTTGAAGTGTCCTTCTGTTTTCCAGTTCAATGGAAAGCAGCACAAAAATATTTTTAAAGCAACTTCTTTAATTCATCATGTGTCTGACATTCTTTATAGAGTCTCATGGTATCTGTTGTGTAGGAGGACCAGTATATTAAGATGGTCAATATGCAACGTGTTGCTAATGCAAAATTAAAAGTATCATGTGATGAATGTTTTCATGCTATCATTTTTCCCGGTTACTTTCGGTTAATTAATGTTACTTTGGACTCCAGGTAATATCCTATTCGCTTATTTATCTCAAAGATAAGCTTTAAAAGAAAAATAAGCACAAAACCAGCATAGGAAGCAAAACACAGTCACTGTCACTGTATCTGATTGAAGAACCAGCAATACCTGAGTGACGCAGTCTTGGTCAGGACTGCTTGATAATGCTGTAATAGATTTAGAGATAACTGTGGCAATACAAAGTTTAAATAAATCATTTCCAACTTTGTAATTTTGATTGAAGGATTTATCTTCAAATGTCTTCTGCACTCTAGCAGAGTAAAAGACTGAATTCTAATTCGTGAGTATAAAAAAGAGAACAGTTAAAAAAAAAAAAGTCAACAAAGTCCCTGACTGACTCTGATGTACTGTCAGCCAGCATTTATCTGAGAAGCTGTTTGGTTGTAGAAGTTTAGAGTCCAGCTCATCAGCATGCTGACATAACTTTTCTTTTAGATCAGATTATCCTGCCTCCTTAATATTTTCAGAGTTAACTATGAGATGTACCACTTCCTTTCTAAACATTTTGCTCTGGAAAGCTCTCTGAGGCTGTCTTTTCCTCACCGTGCCTTTCTTCAAGATGGAGCACATCTCTCTTTCTCAACTGTGTCTTTTCAGAATTCTTTTCCTAGTTATTGCCCCACAGACATACATAGCACAGGTTTATATCAAATAGTGCTGTTGGAATTGTTTAGTGATTTTTCATTCCTTGTAGTTAAGCTCTGAAAGAGAATACCCCACCAGGGACCTTTCTGAAATTTCTATTTCTAATGTAATTCTTAACTAGCAAATTTTCTCCAGGAATTACTGAAATTTTTGTGGTTTCTGTGCGGCTTTCAAGATTTAAAAAAACAACATTCTGCACAGTTATTAGGCCTTAAATGTCTAGGTTTTGGTTAATTTTTCATACATAAACCACATGGCAAACTTGTCATCCTCTATCCATTCCCTGTTAGCTTTTTGCTTTTGATGCTTTCAGGTCACCTTAGTTTTGTTTTTGGTACACACATAAGCTGAGTGAGGTTTTTTTAAAGTAGTATTTTTTATTAGAGCTACAGATATACACCTGCATCTGTGAGCACCTATGGGAAGCATGAAAGTCTTGTTCTTTAGGTTCTTCTAAATGTTTGTGGCAGCGAGAGCCTGGCACCTATGTTCTCTTTCCTTTAGAAATGCTCTCTGCTACAGATGCAAGTACTCTAAGGTGTCTTTTTGAAGGTTTTTCTTTGTTTCCTATTATGCCTTTACTGCTAATATTCAAAATAGGTGCTTGGACCTGTTGATCTTGACATTTGACTGCAGCTTCATTCATTGATGCAATAGATAAAGCTCAACCTTGAGCTCAAAGAACTGGACAGCCTCCAACTCAAGTACTTCAGAAATCATGCAGTGCCAAAGTTCTCAGTGACTGGTCCTTGTCACATAGAGCTATTACTTCAGGGATTGGTGCCAGTTCTAGCAGAAGCTGTGACATAAAGTCAGAAGAGTAGATGCCTGGTGCCATTTAATGTCAGCTAACAAGTCGTGGAAGCAGACCTTAATGGACAGAGATGTAACTGTTACGACTTTAAAAAGTCATAAACACAAGAAGATTCTACATCTCACAAGGAAGGATAGTTGCACTTCACCTAAAATTGCAGCAACCTAACCAACCATGGCACTCACAACCAAATATCACCTCTGTATCAGATCTGCAGCTGACATGGGGACTGTGTTGGCCAACAGACTGAGAGCCGTATTTTTTCAGCATACTTTGCTGGCATGAACATATTGCTGAACTTCAGGAGACCATTTCAGTATCATTCCACAAAACAGATTTCATACTGTGCCATGAACCCTTGGTCACACCAGTGTTACTGGGCACAGAAATATAACAGGCCCCTACCTTACCCTGAGTAACAGAGCAGTACCACCTTTTATTTTCTCCACAGGAGGACATGTGCTAGTCTTCATAAGAGAAGTTATTTAGGATATTTACTCAGCTGCCAAGAACACGCTTTCTTGATTTCACATGAAAGCATGTCCAAATGGATAAAAAAGATTTCATTTTTAAACCAAATTAAATAACATTATTAGAGCACTGTTATTAAATTTTTTACTAAAGTTTGTGTGTTTAAGACTTTTAAGTAGTGTCTCAGTACTTGGCTTTCACCATGTTCCAGATTGAGGGCACTTGCAGTAAGAAACTGCATGAAAAGGAAAGTTGAAGCCATATCAGTAACTCAGAACAGAGGAAATGCAACAATTAAGGCTTTTCCTACAATCTTAATTTTTCCTTCTTGTTTGTAGACATTGTAGTATTGTCTTTAATTACATGATCATATACTATTTTGCTGCTGCCTCAGTTCAATTGTTCAGTATTTCTTTTCATCATCCTTATTCTTTATGTACCTTATTTTTCAACCTGCCATTCAGACACTTCAATGAACACAAAAGTATTAATTTTTTTTTCCTCTGAGAGTGTGTGGTAATGTTATCTTATCTGAGTGCCTCACAAACATCAGTTAAGTCTTTCTTCCCAATCCCTTTATGAGATTAAGTGTGATCTTCCCCATTTGACAGATGAAGAATTTACAGAAACACAGAAGCATTAATGTTTAAAAAAAATTTAAGCCCACTTTATGCCAATGTTGAGACATCTGTGATAAGCTGCTAGCACTAATTACGTTTAAAGCATTCGGAGCACATTGAAAGCACATTTAAATTGCAATTATTTTTTCTTTGTATATCTGATCTCTGTCCCCTACACTTGCACCTACAAAACAAGCATAGCATGATGGTGGCATGAACACTTTGGTGTACTTTAAGATATATTCTTTTGTAGGATCTTCTTTCACTTTGGAGAGATGATCTCTCTCAGCTGACTGTATCATCAGTCTACTCTAGAATTCTGCTTATGTTTGCAGTAGAGAACTTAACGAGGAGGAAGGGGACCTTTTTCCAGAGGGTCTCTGGAGTGATCTTTAAGTAGTGTTTGAAAGAGTTTTGCATTATCTGATTGATGGGGATATATTTTATTTTCTGGTTTGCATAGAAACAAGGTAAGTGTACTTTTCTGACAACATTTTCCCTCCTGAATCACTGACATTTGTTTAAAAATTATTTTTTCCTAAATATCCTCTCATTTAATAAATTTTTCTTTTTTTTTTTTCTCATTGTTTAAATGTTAGCCTTACTTAGATACACATAATTTTGTTCTGTAGTGCTGTAGGTAGTGGAGTAGCTATATGGCTTTAATATATACTGTGGTTTGACAGTTTGCATGTTTGTTTTGAATTACCTTTACACTGAATTGCCTCCTAGGCTAGCTAAACGTACAGCAAGATTAATTCTGCTAAATTATCTGCCTCTTTCTTGAAAGAGTTTAGTCAGATGATAAATCTGCAAGGGTAATTATTTAGCCAACACCTGTAGACATGACCCCCAAATGGTGTTGTCATTATATGTAAAACCTGGCTATCTAATTTTACCCCTTCCTGAAGCCTTTGAGAAAGTTTTTAAATGAAATTACTTAGTATAAAGCAGGTTTCATGTGCTCCTTAAAATATCACAGTATTCTTTCTATTCCTAACTGTTGGCAAGTTTTCAACAGTTCAGTATGTTTCAAGATCATAATTACTTTACATTAATAATGAGGGAGGGAAAATACTGAATAAAGACCAGCTTAGAGATAGAACAGTTTGACAGTACTGGAGTTGTAGCTAATAATGCAACTTACTGGCTTTAGCCTAGACACAATATGTTCTGTGTCAGTCACCCATGGAGTTACTTCACCCTACCAGTAGACTTCTACAAGCATCAGGAAGAATGTGCACTAACTAAAAATCTTCTCTCTGCTCACACAGCTGGGGTGCTTTCTGAAAACTTTGCAACTCTGACAAAGCTGCTGAAGTTACTTCCTGAGAGAAAATTCCCTTTATTATTTCCATACAATCTTAAAATGATGATTGTTTTGTTGTTCTGCCCTTTAATTTCTTCCTCTTCCCTCTGTGCTCTAGACTGATAGTTAATACTTCTGTTAATTCACCAGGTGTGAATTTTGTTATTTTTGTCATGCTGATACTTGCATGCCTAAAGCAAAATCTCTTACTCTCTGAAGTCCTTTCTATTAAAATCAAAATAACAATTGTAAAACACATGTCCATTTCTGAAGGTCTTTGCTACATTTATCCTAAGCACTGGTTTATGTCCACCTCTTTCCTGATCTAAGTAAGATATGGTGAGTTTTTTTGTCTTGCAAGCAGTATAGAGTTAGGTCTAACAGTACCTCATTAGAGCATCATCTTGCTGTAAATTTGCTGGAAACCTTACTCTGAAATAAATTAAAAGCCATCCTAAACCTTCCTACATTATTATTTTTTGCTGAAAAAAATCTTTAGAAATTATTTCCCCTACATAAAATTCAGCCAACTGTTGTCTGTAAAGGTCCTAAAACTTTCTGTTATAGGCTTCAGTGCTCCCAGTGGACTGAGATGAGATCATTTGTCTACCTTGCTAGCACTCTACTGATCTAAAGTACAGCAAAATGTAGCTCCCTACATGACAGCACATGTGGCAAAATTCATAGCACTTTCAGGATAATTTTGTTAAATATAAAAATGCAGTACATGTTTTCTACAGTGAAAAGTGTTTGTACATACATATATTTGCCAAATAAATATGTGAAGTTTCTGGAGACTTTTAGTAATGAGAAAATTAGCTTAATATGTATTTATATTTCTTTTTTAGGAACTTGAACAATACAAAAGAAATGCCTCCAAATCCTGGAAAGAAATGGATTTTGACTCCAATTGATGAACTGCTCTGTCTTCAGTTTAACACCATTTACAAAATTATTTTTATCATTTTTACATTACATTAGCAATTTCATCTGATGCAGTTGAAAATGAAACCATGAACTTAGTATTTATTAAGCACCCCTGTTGTTATTTTTCATAAAAGAAGCTGTTTATTCGCTCAGTCCAAATTTGTTTATCTTGGCACCGACAAAGATTAAAAAGTGGGGAGAAGGGAATTCTAGATTGCTCTCAGATGGATTTATACATCAAGACATTAGTCAGTTCTATGTATTTTATAAGTTATAACACATTATTTGATTTACTTTTGAACACTTCTACCCTAAGCATATATTTAAATATAAACAAGTTATCACACCCAAAATATGAAATTGTATAGTATGCTAGCCATCTTTTTGGAGTTCAAAACCAAAGCTTAAGAAATACTTGCATAATTGTTGGATATATTTGAATAAATAAATAAAACTAAAACTGGCAGAATAAAGTGGAGTTAAAACCATCTTTGACCTGAATTCAGAAGTGTACTTCCTCTCTGTCACAGAATCATGCAGTTTAATATAGGACTTATTTCTCGCAATGTATAATGTCACACAGAGTTTAGAAGATAGATGTTTGTCATATATTCAAATGCCAGGAAGTCAGTCTAATTAATTTGACAGATGCTTGGTTAGTGCTGAGAATATTACTGATTCACATTCAGCCTCAACTAGGAATAGGTTTTTGTCCATGCACACTTCACTAGTGTGACATGCAGTGAGTGTTCTGAGAATACACAGGACAATCCAGATTAAAGGCAGAGGTGTCTCCTGAGAGCTCAGACTTTACAGAGAGTGAATGTCTGAATAGTCACTTGGCAAACCAGATCAACCCTATATGTTCATAAAAATGGGCGAGACTGACTAATCTGGTATCTTTCCATCTATTTAAAGCTACTTGTTATTTTTAACATATTCAGTCACCAGATGTTTTTCTGATAACATTTATAGCTCAGAATATTTTACATAAAGATATTAGAAAAATACACTTAAGTGAAAATACTGTATTACCTTGAGGATTAGATTTAAAATTCCTTGTTATGAACTGCCTCATCTAAAAACTATCATATAAAACTAGTTACATAATTATAGAAATTTAAGATAAAAATATACTTACGTCCTTGGAGAAATCTATCTCTCTGCAAAAACTAATTTCTTCACAGAACAAGAAAATAAGATACAAAATTTAGGAATTCTATGTCTATTATGTTTTCAATTTTGAAAAGCCCATGAGAATAATTTCCGAAGATGAAAATGGCATTGCTTCTGACACACAACTTTTATACTTTTTCCCTAGTTAAATTGACATTTTATTAAATAAAACCAAAACATTATTAAACAAACATATTTTTTTCCTTGTCATTCATAAACTGCTTCCAAAACAAGATTAGAACTTGACAGTGAAAAGCAAGGTTATTTATATAAATAACCTATCTTCACTGATCTACCATCATTTACAAGGCAAAAACAAGTCGGGTAACTTTGATACTGCTTCAGGATCCTGTACTCATCAGTTGTATAGTGTGTATAAGATTAAAGTAGAGTGATTTCTTGATTCTGTCTTTACACACATTTGGTTTGTTTCCTTTCCACAGATTCCTCAAATGGTATCAAAACAAGGCATAAGACTGAAAATACAATTCTAGAAATAAGATTTACTAGCAGTTGGACCCCTCTGCTTATTAGTAGTAATTAAAAAACAAAATAGTGGGGTGATGGAGCACCGTTGCTAGTTGTTAAAAACTGTCAGAAATAGCTGACTGAATTAAATCAGAAAGCCCTTTAAAACATAAAATATGGTTTGATTATGGCTGATCTGGAAATCAGCCACAGGAGAGGTGTGCAGAATACCAATATCAGGACTCATTCACACTCTTAAGAGAATGTTGGTTTTTCAAGATGAAAACAAACATGAGAAGATGAATATGTTTTCTATGTGTAATCACTTAAATTCAATCTAAAATCCAACAATATAAGTCTTCGACCATAATGTAGATACAAGTATAGTATTAGAGACTGTTGGAATTGCTACTTTTTCATTGTCTGTCAGTAATTCTCTCTCTTAATTTAAAGCTTAGAATTGCAATAATGGCAAGTACTGGTATAAAAGCATACAGTACAAGGAAATCGACTGTGAACCGGGCTAGTGCCCCAGGATAGTTTTTTTCAATGAACCGGATGCCTTGGGAGAAAACACACGCAGCATTATTTGCAGTGGAACTGTTGGCTCCACCTGTCAAAAGAAACAAACAATTTCTTTAGCAGGTAAATCAGTGAAAGTAAAACTCAGGCTGCAGTCTCTAGCTCATGCCACTCCCTGACATCACTCCCATAAAGAACCAAACCCACAGCAGTATTCTCATCACTGTGGGATAAAACCAGACAAGCCCTATGCTTCTGTGGTTAATCCATAATCAACTCTTTGAAAGGAAGAACAAAAGGCACTAGGAGCTCTCTCTTTTGTTCATGCCAAACAAAGATTAATGGTTTTGCAGACGCATTATCTGGAGTGGCATCAAGAAGCAAGTTGACCCATGTGGTAGACTTACAGGGTTCATATGTGTTGAGGGTTCCAAAATGCAAGAAATAGAGACTGTATGAAGGGCACATTAAAATGAAGCGTTCATTGGTACTAACAGAGTCATGGATTAGTTTTTTAGCAGTTGTTGATCTTGTAATAAAGAGAGATTAATAGATAAAAAATATGTAGCCTTGGAGAGGAGCACAGACACCTGGCTACAACATGCCAAATATCCTAGGGTAGGTCCAAAGCTGTAAGTTTTACCCCACTAATGTGTATTAGCTACTAACCCTGCCACCCTGATTGATTCTCTTGTTTTGCAGGTTATCTTGCTCACAACCAGCAAAGCACAGCCTGACAGACCCAAACTGCTCAATAAATACCATGGAACACATTTGAACTGAAGCCTCTCTAGTATCAGAGGATACCTGGTCAGCTGGTTTTTACCTCTCAATACTCCCTCCAGTGATATTTGATCTTAGATTGTGCAATTCTCTTGATTCTCTATTTGTGTAACATTGCTCAAAAAAATTTCCAGCCTGTCATAAACTTAGCTTCCAAAATTCCTCCAAAGAGGGGGTAAGAGAACAGGTGAAAAAGAAAGATGGAAGAACTGTAAGAATGAGAAATGGTTGGAACAAAACAATCAAATTATGCTTGCTGATGTGGCGTTATAGTCTTTACTAATTAGTAAGTTCTTTTTAGCAACTCAGAAGTTAGCTTTATTTTATCAGGATACATGTACATAGAAGGAAAATAAGCATCAACATCTCATTAAAATTACTTATAATGGACTTTTTTTGAACACTTACCACATGTGAAGTTTAAGCCATAAAATTCATTGACTACAAGGACTTCACTGCTGTATTTTTGAAACGTAAGAAAACTGAGTAGTTTGAAAGGTGTTGGCATATCTTCAATGGTCCTTAAAGAAACAGAGAAGTTAAGCTGGCTTTTGTTACATATTAAGACCCCCAAATTAAAACAAGCTCTTATTGTTTGTAACCTGTGACAGAAACAGTTCTTGTCTCTACCTGTAGGGTTTCTTTCAAACATAAAGTCTAATTTTAGAGCTAAGTGATGAGACAACCACAAAGGCTGACTTTGGTACAGTGTCACAACATTCAGCCCTGACTTGTTTATGGATGGTCACAAAGAATTCTATGATTGTTTGCTGTTCACATGGCAGTGATAAACTGAAAATGACAAGACCCAATATAAACCTTACTTGCCAAAATGTGTTGCTTTCAAAGTAAGAAACCACCCCCCCTCCATCTTCAAAACCAAGTAAGACTGAATAGCAATTCATTGCCACAATAATAACAAAGCAAAAATGAAGCAAAAATAATGAGAAAAAACATTCAACAAGACTGGGCAATTTCAGCATCTAAAGCACTTCAAGACTTATAATTCAACGACAAAAAAATTAACAGAAAAAAAAAAACCCAGCAACCTAAGTCCCAATGCTATTTTAATGTCCTTTGTTGCTTATGAAGATGAATCAAAAAGATCCATAATATGAATGAGCAATGTCTGTGCTGTAAAATAAGGTTAGAAACCACTCTAATGCTTTCAAGTTATCATTAAGGCATTAGACTTTGGTAGCAGGAATAAATGTCTTGCCACTATAAACACACATCTTCCTGAAATTAGACAGAGACCAAATAATTAGACATTAAACTAGCTTTATATCATAAGTATAAGCTGAGATCTACTTTAAAGAGACAAAGCATCATCAACTTTGTGAAGATTCAGATAGTTTTCTTGAGGACAACACCATCTGTTGTTAGGCTCACTTCATTTTCATTGGGAGGGTCTCAGGTAAGTATATTCTACTTACTCAACATCCTAGGAAATCTGCTTTTAACAATTACACATTTATGCTGGTATGTTCCTCAAAAAAACCAGTAATTTCAGTGTTGACAAATACAAGAGGAAAACTGTTCAAACTTCATGCAATTAGAACACAAATCCATTTATTTGTACACTAATAGAGCAAGTAGATCACAATTTTCCCACATATTTACTACACTACTTAATAATTTTTATAGATTTCAGTCTGTATGGGCAGAAAGAGTGACTGAAAAATTTCCTGGCTAAACTGGATAAAAATAATACTAGTAAAATAGTTGAGAGCAACTGCTTTTTTATACCAGCATTACCAGTGCTTAATGTCTGATAAATTCCAGAAGTAACTAAAAGATGTAGGAAGAGGGATTTTTGGTAGGCTCCTTTAATGAGAACAGCATTTTACAACATCATGTCAGCATCAGAAAAGAATTAAGGTTATATTAATTGTTTAGTTTTATCTTCAATGTATTTGCAAAAAGTGGAGTAAATCCTCAATGTCGTTGTTGATATCTAAAGATATTATTAAGTATCTGTTTTCTGTGTTTAGTACAAGACCCAACAAGATTAGGTAGTTCTGCCTCTGAAGGAGCACAGCCGCTCTTACTTTTCCATTGCTACCTGTGCATTACTGGATTTCTGCAATTTTCTGCAACTGTCCTAGAAGCTCTTCCACAGTTAGATCATTTTAACAGCAACACTGTTACAAAGTAAGATTTTTTTCCTACCTGACTAGTCCCGTTCCCACTACCACACCAGCTGAATTAAGTAGCACCACGCCACTTTGGACTATATTTGGGTCTTGAACCACGCCAAGTATAACAAGTGTTAGTAGTTCACCAATCATGTGAGACGCTAGGACAACAGCAAAGAAAATTCCAAATCTGGCAGCATCAGGATACAATCCTGTAGTCCTGTACAAAGATAAGCAAAAGAACAGTTAAAAAACAATGTTTCTGTAGTAAACTTGGAAAGTAGCTTTTACTTTTGTTTGGAATCTTAACACAAAGGACATCCATTTACTGTCATGATGTAAGTGCACATACATGAGGTTTTCTCCATCTAGGTTGAAGGGGGTTATGCAAAGATGTAATTCA